TTGGCAAAAAAAATAATATAGCGCTATAGCCAAATTTCTTTAGTCATTACATTTAAAAAAGTAATAAGAAAATACATCGTTAGTACTCCATTATTTGAATAATACTGATTTTATTTGACAAAAAAAATTCGAGTTCCAACTTAATTTTTAAAAACAAAAATGGCCTAAAAAACATTAGGGACTGTTTGGTTAATGGGATAAGATGTGATATTGTAGAATTAAGTTTAATTTGAAAATTTATACTCTGTCAGATTAAAAATATAAATTCATAAGTTATGGTTGTCTATTTTATCGTATTCCTCTGATTCATTTTTTTGTCATATTTTTTATGCGCCCTAAATAAATATTAACTAAAACAATCTCTATTTATACTCATATGTATACTTTCTCTTTTACCACATTAATTACTCTTCGTACTTATTAAATAGTGGAAAATGTGAAATAATTTTTTCGACCCAATAATTAGAATTGAATCAATCTCATTCACCATTTTTAGCTCATAGACCTATATGAAGTCAGCTTGTTCACAACATATGAACTCAGAATCTCAAATCACAGATCTAAATAATGATTAGAAATCATCATTTCAAATTATGTCTAAATTTATATTAATCAGATTTCATTTAATGTACAAATTTCTAAAATGCTTAATTCTTTACTCAAAAGGACAACTGGTCATGGATTAATTGCAAAGAACACTGTTGGTATTTTACAGTTTAATTACAAAGAACAGTTGATCATGGATTAATTGCAAAGAATAATGTTGGCAAATTATAGTTTATAAGTTGAATTCGAAAAAGAAGAAGAAGATGGCGATGTTGTTTTCTATCTATGCATATCTCGACTATTATATAGTTTTTTTTATTAATAACTAGTAAAATTATTCGTGCTTCGCACGAGAAATTAATATCACAAAATTTATAAAATAATACTTAAAGTCTATCAGACATTAAAACTAAAACTCTATAGTATCTTACATACAAGATTACGTAGTAACAAACATTAATAATGTAAAGGAAAATGAAAATTCTTGCATCTTTTCATTTATCCTTAATAACATAAGCATAAATTAATGATTGTTAAAATATATACCAGGATCTGTAACATAAGCAATGGTGTCAGTGAGCCACTCAACAGGTGCAAAGTACATAAATATTTAATGGTGAAGAAGAAGAAGAGGTTTGGAATTTTCGTTGTTTGAACAAATATTTATTGTGCCTTATCAGAAAGGCTACAACTATTTGAAAAAGTTGCAATCCATCGGAAAGGTCACAACCTTTCATAAAAGCCACAACACTTCATAAAAATCGCAACTTTTCATAAAAGTCGCAACTCTTCATTAAAATCACAACTTTTCATGAAAGAGGAAGACTAGTTTTGAAAATAAATAAATTAACAGGGAATTCTGATTTGTGGTGACGCCACGTAGATGGGCCTGATTCTTTATATGTATATATATATATATATATATATATATATATAATATATATATATATATATATCTCACGTCCATAACTAAAATATTTACTCCAATCCGTGTCAATTCCGTGTCTGGGCTTTTCCTTCATTCGAACAACTTTTCGTCAGACTTGTAATATAATAATTAAAATAATAATTATAAAGGCTAAAATTAAACAGAAATTGAAAACTTAATTATTTATTAAGCATTATTGGATAGATAAATACAAGACCACATGTGGTTTGTACAAGTCTTATTCACTCAGTCTCAAATTATCTGTCGTATTTTTCTTTTACACGTTTTTTAAGAAAATCTTAATTATAATGAGTTTTGACTATATATATATAATCTTTATTGTCTTGAGTTATAATCTTTATGCACGTGTCATAATTGAGATGACTATTTATAAAATCTACGTCAGATAATTTAAGAAGGAGAAAGTATTTTAAAAGATCAATTAAAAATAATTTCGGTTAACAACGGTAGATTTCCATGGTTCACTTATGCCTATCAACCTTAGCTAATTCAGAGTTCACCTCACAAGTTGCAATATATATATATATAATAATGTAAGTTGTCATTCTAAATGTATTTTTACCCTTTCAAATTTGATCCAAAATAAGTTGTAGAAAATCAAGAAAGCACTAATAACTACCCTCTAAAAAAAGTATCATTACTCTAATAAATAACCTAAAATTTCTTAGATACTAATAATTAATTGTACGAAAATCTTAAAAGACAAATAATATAAACGGGAGAAAGTGATGTTTGTTGGGACCGAATTGTAACAGTGGATTTTTGTCTTCTCTACTTGGATTTTTTTTTTTCCTAAAAGAGATATGGAAAAAGGTTAAAGAAGTTACTAATCAAGAAAAGATACCAAGTGGTTAGTCAATTTTAAAAAAGATATGGGTATCAATAAAGTTTGGACATACTACAGCAAAGTAGTATTAAAAGGCACTTCCTTTATGTGTGCTCAGTAAATAATGATTTAATTGTTATTTTATAAATTTAAGATATAATTAATTATTACTACTTTTTTTTTTGCATTTTTCCATTTATTTAATAATCATGGGGATAAATTAATATGGTAATAAGAAATAATAATAAGGATAATTTAGAGGAAATAAAATCTCTTAATTATTTATAAAATAATTTTTTTAATCACTTATATGTAAAAATAAAAATGTATTGTGTATAAAATTAAAGATCCTTATATGCAAAAATCAAAATCACTCTAAAAATGACATAAACGCAAAAAAAATATTAAAAAATAGAATTATAGTGGCCTAAGAAGTCAAGTCTCCTTATACTCCTTCTGCGCCTTTTTTGGTCAAATTTCGACTTGACATACCTAAAAAGGCATTGATTAGTATGGTGAATTTATCATTTTACCACTATTACTTGATAGGATCCCAAATATATTTATTTACTTACTATATTTTCCAAAAATATTAACTCAATGTTAATAATTCAGTATATAGTAGGAAAAAATAAACTATACTTTCTTAATTTGTTAAATATGACAAGTAAAAAAGGACATTTAATTAGAAAATATTTGACAAGGAAATAGAAACTGAGAGAGTACTTTAGTATAGTTAATATTTCCTCTATTCCAAGTTACATGATTTTGTTCCTTTTTAGTCAATTTTTAAAAGAATAAAATATTTTTATATCTATTAATAATTTATTTGACAAATACTTATTTTATTCACGATTATATTAAAATTGTATATAATAGCAAACTATTAATTCAAATTAAATGATATAAACATAGTTTGATTTAATTGTACCCCATAACAAATTGTTGTTATTTCGCCTCTCTTCTGGTGAATCTCGCTCGCCACTGTCGTTCTCTCCCTCGCCTCTCTCGCTTTTTATACAAACGCAAATGTATAAAATGCGTTTGTGTTTGTATAAAGCGAGAGAAAATTGTATATATACATATATTTTCGTTCCTCTCTCCCAGATCTCACTTGCCACTCTCCCAGATCTCGCTCGCTCACTCGCCTCTCTCACTTTATACAAAAACGTAAATGCATAAAATGCATTTGCGTTTGTATAAAGCGAGATAAAATTGTATATATACATATATTTTCGTTCCCCTCTCCCAGATCTCGCTTCCCACTCTCCCAGATCTCGCTCACTCGCCTCTCTCACTTTATACAAACACAAATGTATATATTGTGTTTGTGTTTGTATAAAGCAAGAGAAAATTGTATATACAAATACAAATGCTTATATTTTCGTCCTATACACTTATGATTATACAAATACGATCTTCCCCTGCCCAGTTTTCTTTTGTCTTTCTTTTTTTATACAAACACAAATTATACAATTGATCTTTTGTATATATATACCAAAACAAATTATACAACTGCTTTCTTTTGTATATGTATAGCGAAATTATATAACTGTTTTCTTTTGTATATGTATAGCGAAAAATACATATTTATGTTTGCTATGAAACGCAATTATGCAAACTATAGTTATAACATACAAATATAATTTTTGTGTCTGCTATATCATGTGAAAGTTGCTCATTATATTATGACTTATTTTAGACCATAAAAATTTGTCTAAAAAGTGTCACAAAAAATGACAAATAAAGTCCCCCACAAAATTGGCGAAAAGCCATTGACAGATCGAAACGTGTCAGTCAGCTATTTGTTGAACGACCTCAAAATTTTGAAAAAACATTTTCTTCAAATGAAAAACCGCTTCTGAAAGTCCGAGGATATAACCCACTTTCTCAATTAAGGAACTTAGCATACTCGCCCTGCTGTTGTCCTAACATCTGTCCCTAAATGGCAAATCCGTAATACGGTGAATCTTAAACCCGTACTATTAGTCCGTTAACGCAGTTGTATTGATATTTCTAGACAGGTGTCAGCGAGTGAGGTTATTTATTAAGTACTCGCGCGAGTAGGGGAGGTAAAATATCTGGTAAGTGGTTTAGTGAACAAAACAAGCTGCTGGTTTCTCTCTAAATACCACCACCATAGCTTAAGCTTTCCATTTTAAAGCTTTAATTAACAGATTATTTTTTTCACTAAACCAGTATTTCTCTTCTCTCTCTCTCTCTGTAGAACCAGTCTACTATCAAAATCTCTCAAATTAGTAAGTTTTTCTTTTAATTTTTGTCTTTTTTTCTCAAATTCATATGTATTATTTCCATTCTTGTGGTTATTGATTGTTTATAAAACTTTCTAATTTTAATTATTGATGATTAGTACTAGTACTACACTAATTTGTTCATATTCAAGAATTATTTTCATGTTCTTGATTCATTTTAATTTTAGCTCTTTGTAATCCCTTTTGATTTGATCTAGCAAAAGAGAGAAGCAAAGTCAAAAACCCTAAACATAATTATTATTTTACTCCACCAAATCTTATTAATTTTTGCTGAAAATTAATATTATTCTTTGCTTTGATATATTCATATATTCTCCTTTTGTTTTATCTATTTTCTATTTTAATTGGATTTGTTGGATGTATTTTAATCTTGTGATGGTTTTTATATTGTTATAGTAGCATTTAATCGAGAAGAGATGGGTAGAGGAAAAATAGTGATACAAAGAATTGATAATACAACAAGCAGGCAAGTTACTTTCTCGAAGAGAAGAAATGGACTTCTCAAAAAGGCTAAAGAGCTTGCAATTCTTTGCGATGCTCAAGTTGGACTCATTGTTTTCTCAAGCACCGGAAAACTCTATGAATTTGCCAACAACAGGTTTACTTATTCATTTCCAACATACTTTTGAGTATTTTTATTTTTATTTAAATATTGCCAACTTGGTACCCTTCCATTTAAAATTATACCAAAGTTTCATTTGTACTTTGTACCGTGGTCCTGCATCAAGGATTCCACGTGCATATTAATTTGTAAGTGCATGCTACGATAATTGATCTAAAACTCAAATATTACATCCAACTTTCAGAAAAAAAAATTAATTTATTTTTTTGCCAGCAGTATTTATATTTTGATTGATTATCATACATATATGCACGAAACTGGTGTTGAAAATTTGACTGGAGGAACAACGTGCATGTAGTATTAATCTAATAAGAAAATTTACGAGCTATAATAAGTTGTGAAAATTTTACCTTGTATAAGTATAATTGTAGATACAATAGCGAATATATACTGAGGCACGTAAATTCATGATCTCTTTCTGAAAATAGATATTTATATATATATTCTTAAAAATTAGTCTAATATATTATTATTAGTCGATACTCATACTATAAAAAAGCTAAGTGGTGCACTTGGTTAGATGTTATGCTCTTTACCTAGGACTAAATTTTTATTTTTACTTTAAAGAAATGTGGGTAGGGAAGGAGAAATGGGCAGGGGATTACGATATGAAGAATAGAACTCTCACCAATAAGGTGGGAGTTCAGGTAACCAATCTGAGCTACTAAGATTCCCCTAGGACTAAGAATCAATTCCCACTTAATACAAAAAAAAATTTCTGTTTTAAGTGGTGCACTCATGATCTAGAAATCTTATATTCGCCTCTGCATAGATATATACATCAATGAATATATATTTACTAGAAACAAAAGTTTTTTCTAACGCAAATCAATATGAAATTTGTGTTATACAACATAATTTTTTCAATTAAGACTGGAAAAAGCATGATAGGAAACAAATTCCATACTTCATATTTTTTCTATGTGAAAACACTATTATTTTTTCTTTTTTTCCATGATTGTATCAAAATATCGTTGAGAATATCCACTTAATGTTTCACTGAAATTTTTTAATGGAAAAATAGTGATATACAAACAAGTTATATAAAGAGATTTCCATATATAACACTTTTACGACAGTACCTTTCTACATAACCCAGCTTCTTTAGACGCATGCATGATCAAATGTCTTATTTTTTGTGCGTGACTTTGTTTATGTGTATATTTTGCTTCAATTTGCCCAAATAGAATTCTGTTTGATGGAACAATACGAAATACAACTGACTATATGCGCGAATCGCGATGCATTTTAGCTAGTCAAACGCTTTTATTTTTCAAGTTATTAATCTTACTTATATTAAAGACAATAGGCACCAATAATTATCTTTTGAGTGACTGAATAGTGTAACTTTTTAATTGATAATGTTAATGTATAGAATTTTAGATGTTGACACAGTTATATTTTTCGTATTGTTATCAGCATGAGGTCTACAATTGATAGATACAACAAGATAAAGGAGGAGAATAATAACATGAATCCCATGTCAGAGGTTAAGGTAACCTGATTTTTGTTTCCACAAGTGTATGTTATCCTTTTGGATGTCCTTGTGTATATATATATATATGGATAATATGTTGTTTTTATTCATGCTATTCTAAAACCCTTTTAATTAGATGAACTTGTATATCCAATGTGGGATATGTAATTTTTCTTATAATCTATGATATCTTATCAATCTATATTGTAAATCTCAACTAATAAGTGTACGAAGTTATAACTCATTAATATAATGTTCGAGTAGATATTTATCTCAAACTAAGTAGGTGTTTGGATATGAATCAAATGATATTTGGATGAAACATAGTTTTGAAATTAAGCTTAAAAAAGGGTTATTTGAAAGTTGATGTTATATTTGAACATGAAAGCATATAATTAGTTATTCTGTCAGGAGTCAAAACTTGAAAAACTCCTAACATCTATTTTTCAAATTTTATAATTAATTAATGGTGAAATATTGAGCTAATTTGATAAACAAAATTCTCATTTGAAATAATTTCCAAAAAAGTATTGCAAATTTTAAAACTAAAATCTATGGCTAAAGTCGACTGATCATATTTTTATTTAATCTTGAAAAAATGGGGACTTCATGCTCTCATGTAACTTTACAGTACTTTTACTCGATAAGTGTATTGATTATACTGTAGTTGATTGGTTCTTAATTCTTATATTCATGTCAAAAGACTTGGGTGTTACTTGTTTTTATTAAGATTAAAATGTTTGAATTAAAATGAATGTCTGAATAATTAAGATATCGGTAGATTTTAATACCAAATCACTATATATAACTGTTTATTGGTGAGATAGCCAGTAGAGTGTTGCTGGCTTAGCTTTGTAACTACTATTTTGGTGATTAATAAATTTTCTAATTACCAAAAAAAAATAAAAAAAAATGATAACATTGATTGATGTTATAGTTTCATTATGATCTTTATATCGTCATAATTTTTCCAGATATTTTTTCTATTCTATTTGGGTTTATAAATTTCTCTATCAATTCCTTACCAATAAGTTTCCAACATTTTATCCTTAATTGACTTAGGAGTTGTTCTCGAATTGTTGACATGATGGTAACAATTCGTGGTGATAGTTGTGATTGTTAGTAGTTGGTGGTGTTGATAGTGATGGCTAAAGAATATGTGGTGGTTGACAATATATTGGTGGTTAGCTAACAATGGTGTAGCTGGTGCTAGTTATGGTAGTGGGGTGGTTAGTAATAAAAATTGGTCGCAATAGTGGCATGTTGATAGTAGTAGTGGCGGCGGCAACAATAACGGTGACAGGGGCAGTGAATATAATTATAATGATAAAGGTGGTAAGTGTGGTAGCAACTGACAATAATAATTGATAATAATAGTGGTTATCAGTAGTTGTGATGGCAGAGGCGGTTAGTGATTGACAACAACATTGATAGTTAACAATGATGATGATGACAAAGGTGGTTACTAGCGATGGCTAGTGATTGAGGATAGAGTAATGGTGCAAAGTATCCACACAAAAATGTCTCATAGTGATACTTAAACTTTACTATTAAACATCTTAATGATTAAAATATATTTCCACCAAGTGTTAAAATTTCAATATAAACAAGCGCACTTAACAACCTAAGCTCTGAAGACTTCAAATTGAGACGAAGTGAAAACAAATGAGAGCTTACTCACACAGCGTGTATATTTTTCTTTATACAATTTTTTGTCATGTAACTTGCTATTTAGTAATTTTTATCACTTAACTTACCATTATGTATTCTCACATCAATTTGTCACCAAATGCTCCCCCAACCCCAGTTAATTGACTTCCATATTTATGCTAACACCAAGAGCAAGTATCTTTTCCTCAAAGGCAGCGACTATATTGCTTCTAAGAATAAGAAATGGACTTTAGAATCGAATGCGCTCACTGGGAAAGGCGCTGTCAACCAAGTAGAGAACTTCATATTTTGGTAACTCTCTAGGAGTCATCTTTATTTGACAGGGACAAAACTACCACTCGGTCAATAACAAGAAAAAAGTAGCAATTGTGTTTAAAATGGTTGAGTTTGTAAGCAACCTGCTATCTATAGACTGCTTCACCTAGCTATTCTATTATGGCCAGCTTGGAGACATCAGAGTAAGACCACCATCTCTATCCGGGTACGATCTCATTGTATGTTCCTTTCAAGGTAGGACTTAAAAAAAGGGTTTGGAATTGAGAAAATACAAAGACAAAAATCTAAATACAAATGGAGAATCAATTTATCCCACAAAAATTGATTGCTTAGACCATGGAAGAAGAGAAGTGAATAATCGCTCTTGGTCTTCACACATGTCCATATAGCTTTCCTCAAGAACATAAGGTTTTTTAAGCAGGTTTTTCCAGCAAAGCCCCAATTAAAGGCTTTCATTGGGATTTAGGGATGGTCAGGAAAGTTCTCATGATGATCAAGGTTATTCTTGGCCCAAACTACTCGTGTATTATGCTATCAGCTTCTTTTCATTCCTTTGATCTCTAGTTCACCCATCTTTATCATGGCTCACGGCAGTCTTGCAGCAACAAGTCTCAAACGAACAGGATACATGTATGTCAATTTCATGCATGCAAGTAAAGAGTGCAATCGCAGTAGCATTCATCTAAAGTAGCTGCTCTTTTTGGAACCATCCTTAGCCCCATCAAATCCTTTAGCTAACCTTACCCTACTTCATTGTGTTCTTCCTTTGGTGCCAAGAGTGGACAGGAAATATCAACGGAACACCTGCCATTGGACAATGCCCTGTACCGGGTTTTAGTTTGTATACACCAGATTTGTCAATTCCTCGAAACTTACGGTTGGTATATATCTCCTTGACATGGATATGAGAGCGATTAATTCCTAGAAGAAACAAACACAACACTAGAGTTGTTAGAAACGTTAATAATATATAGCTTTTTAAAAGATACACTAAATGTAAATAAGGAAGTTAATTGAGAAAGGATAAAGAGAACATTGGCTTGTGTGTCTTTGTGATCTTTCCTGACTAGGCGAGGAGGGGAAATTTCCTACACTTTGTTGATGTGATGGATGTTATTGCTGCCTTATCTGCTGCATTTTTCCTCTCTACTTGCTTGGGAATTTAATAAAAAGCTACCCTTGATAAGACGTTCACATGCTTATGGTGGTGTGCAGTGCTACCCTGTAATGGGAGCTTCATGTGTTGGTTGATACTCTTTTCTCTTCTACTTACTTCCCTACTTTTGTTCTCATACTGCCTCTCACGTATCTCCTTCCTCCCATGGTTCTGCTATCTTCAGGTTATTTTCCTTTGATGTTTTATTCATGCTTATTTACTGTTAGTTGTTTCCTGGTGTCTTTATATCCCTAACTCACCGCCTATCTTGTTGTCCCATTTTTTCCTGTCCCCCTTACTACTCATTGTCAGGTTCTTAAACTTGGTCAAGGCGATAGCCTTATTCTTCCAAGTTGGTCGCTTAGAGCGGTCATCTATAGTTATCATAGGCTGTTAACCTTCTACTGAAACATATCTCACACACTCATTACAAATTAGAAAAACATGTTTTATGAAGTTTTTCCAATCCCTCATTGTCAATCAGTAGTACAGAGCTATACATGTCAACTCTTCCGCCTGATAGAATACTAATCCATCTGCTTAATGTACCACTTAACTTATCAGATATTTGATTCAGGTCATCATCTCCAGAGACAGTTACAGATGCTGGTTGATGGAGCCTCTGTTGTTTCAACAAATTATACATAAGAAATACCCCCCCCCCCCAATCAAACAGATGCACACTGGAAAACTGATACCGGTTCTAAGAATCTTAAGGACAAGAACTGGTACGGGTACTCAATCTAGTTTTTTCCGCAGTTCATCCTACACTAGCTTTGAGAACAAAAGTTCTGGTGCCGTCATTCAGTCATGATGGCTGAAATGAAGGAAGTTATTGGAGAATAAGGTGGTTATAAAAACCAGTAATGCTCACCTTTACAATTTAATTGTACTCCACCACATGCATCGACTAGAGAATATAACCTAATGGAATCTGCCTGCAAGGTGAGATAATTTGGTGGGCAAGCAGAAAAAGTAATACCATCATTTTGCCATGATAAGCCTGAGTTTAGAATCTGATTATCTCAGCATAAGCTAAATCCATAATCTAGTTGACCAACAAAGCCTTAATTTCAAATCAGTTGACTTCTGCTATAAGAATCCTATATATCCATTGCGCTCAGAGTCTGAGACCAGGATCTAATGTCTCTTTTAAATTGTATTTATAGAAGAATGAAATGACAATAGACATCTGCAATGCTGGGGAGAAGGTCCGGATGAGAATATTTTAGCAAAAATCCATCAAAGGATAGTTTGTTAGTCTATCAAAGAATGCCTTGAGTGGATTGAAGGATGTCTCAACCCCAGCTAACTCGATATAGGATCTACTATCAGAGGTGTAAGTAATACATACTATCATAGGGGTAAGATTAAAATCTAAGAGATCCAAAATGTCTACAGTCCTGACATACAACGATGCAGAGAAAGTTGCGGGATAAGAGATTATTTCGTACAACAAAGGCTTCTTTCTCCCTGAAGACTAGGGTCCACTTGGTACAAAGATTGTGCAGATGATATTCTAGACTAGATTAGATAACCCAATCCAGGAAGGAGAAGACTATTCATTAGGCCAGTAGTCACATGGGACAAGTGGAAAGTACTCCTAGTATGCAAATATAAGAAGGGAAAACCCCCTCACATTATATATGCTCCATTGCTCACTTTCCACATTGTTATTCCTAGGGCGTCAATACTCCTAATTTCCAATAATAGTCACAAATCCCCAAAATAGGTTGTCTGTTGAAACTACAAAGATCCCAAATGTCTAAGGTACTGAGAGAACAAGGATTCAAATGTAAATTTAGTAAGAAGCTAGTTTTTTTTTTTTTTGATTTTGAAAAAAAAAAAAAAAAAAAAAAAAAAAAAAAAGGTTCCTTTCTTGCTTCTTGAAGATTAGAAGCCATTTCTTACAGACAGTTCACCTTATAAGATTTATCTCCCCTGGAACACTCCAACTTCTAAGCCTCTTCTCTGTACACTTGTACTATAGTTGATGTCTTCTAAAATTGGAATGAGTTACTTGAAGACGTGCACCGGACTGCATTTCCAAAACACACTCTTATCTCATTCAACTTTAAAGTTGATAGGGACATGAAAATCACCCCACACTTTCATTAGTTTCTTCACGATAGGACATCAAAATTTCGTTGGTTTCAAATTGAGATTACTGATCAAGATCCGATTTTTTAAAATGTGTTTGCTTATAAACATCCAAAGTTACACAAGTGTGAATCATAGATGGGTTTGAATAAATCAAAACAGGTATAATAAAGAATTTATATACTTGACCTCAACTATTAAAGTGGTGCTCGTCATTTCAAAGTACTTTTTTATGATAACCGTGATATACGGATCAACTTGCACGCACCTCAACTAATTTCATGGGGTACCTACTAGCACAAGTACAAATAACTCTATTCACCAAAACTTGAACAAATGAAAAAAAAATCACCTGGTGTTTTTGCCTCCGCTTCCCACTACATTGACCAGTAGGTTTCACCCTTTGATGATTTTCTTGAATAGTTGAATTTATCATGGGCTGTAATAGTCACCAAGCACTATTCATGGAAAATAGTTGAATTAATAAGCATTCTATTTATTTCATCCTGTCATCCTATAATCTAGCACTCACAAAGAAAGGGACAGAGGCATTGTGTTGGGAGATTCGGAGCACGTGAGTCGCAACTTGGGGTATTGTAGGTGCATAAATTTGGAGGAGGTTAAGAGTGCTATTCGTAGGATGCACAAGGGGAAGAGCAATCGGGCCAGATGAGATCTCTGTGGAATTTTGGAAGAGTGCGGGAAAGGCAAGTTTGGAGTGACTACCTAGGTTGTTTAATGTCATTCTTAAGATAGCCAAAATGACCGAAGAATGGAGGTGGAGTACAATGATTCAAGAGAGGTAGAGGTAGGTCGAAGAAACATTGGGGAGATGTGATTAGACAAGACATGGCGCAACTTCATTTACTAGAGGACATGGCCTTAGATAGGAGGCAATGGAGGACACGGATTATGGTAGAAAGCAAGTAGGTATTTAAGCGTTGTCTCACTTATTATTCCATACTAGTAGTCGTAGTATTACTCTTATAGTTTTTTGTTCTTCGATTTCTGTTCCGATATGTTGTTTCTTGTACTTCGATTATAGTATTATTATATTGTAGTTATTGTTCCTTTTTCCCGGAATGTTGTCATGCTATTTTTAGTATTTTGTCGTGGGTTCTTCACTTGTATTATTTCTTTTCCTGAACTTCTTGCTTATCCTTGAAATGAGGGTCTATCAAAAACACCCTCTCTACCTCCAAAGGTAGGGGGTTAAGGTCTGCGTATATACTGCCTTCCCCAAACCCCACTTGTGGATTACACTGGGTATGTTGTTTTGGTTGTTGTATTATCCTAATCTAGCACTCATCCACTTAAATTAGTAATAACAAACTTCGTTCTACTTTTTCTCTTGTTTTTTTGGCTAGTTTTGGCAAAGGGAAGTAGCAAGTCTGACGCAGCAGCTGCATTACTTGCAAGAAAATCACAGGTATATCTTCTACATGCCTTGATGCCATAGGATCTTTTGTTGTATAAGCTACAGATTAAGCAGTATGATGCCTTTACACACTACAGGGTGAGCATTTGATACCTTTTAATTTTTTGAATTATGTGAATCACCTTATCTAAAGGGTAAACTATTTTAGTGGAGATATTTTTTAATTATCTTTTAGCACGAGCCTCTCCCACTGTCAAGAATGACCCTTCCCTACTTTGCTCCTCTTGATGATTCAAACCCTGACCTCAATTTTGGAGGTTGATAAGCTGCTTAACTTAGATCCCAAGGACAACTTTGTGAATCATTACACATTTTTGCAAAGACAAAACTTTAGCTACACTCATAATTGAGGAAGTAACTATTGCCACACAAAAAGTATGTAAGTTGGAAATATTTTGTGATCTAGCAGGATCTCTATAAGGTGTAAAGTTCCTTGGACACTTGGAGAGGTTGGAGTAGTACAATTATTTAGAATATTTTACTTGGTAGTTGGAATTTTATTTTATTTTTATGACAAGGTTAACCCGCAGCCGCTACCCTTTGGGTGAGCACGGGGTAAAAACCCCGCTCCTATGCAATAGCTCGCAAACCACATAGGAGAGGTAACCCGCACTAGGCAAGCCCGGTGCGACGAGCTCGACCCAGAAGGCAAACCCCTTGTTTTCGCTGGCAGGGGGTTTCAAACTTGAGACCTCCAACATAGAAGTCCCAACCCCAAACCACTGGGCCACCCCGAAGGGTACTTGGTAGTTGGAAATACAAAATGTATTCTACTATTCTACTGTACAACTCTACTGGCAAATGTGGAAGAAACAGAAAAAGAAAAAAAAAAGACTTGAGTATGATAAAAGCCAAAATATATAACATTGTTGATTCCATTTGACCTATTATCTATCCTTTGAAAATGCAAGCATCCCATTTAATCACCTCTTTCACTTTCACTTTTTTTCCTTGTCTTACCTCAAACAAATAAAAGCCATCTTGAGGTACTAACTGTAATCCTAGGCACACATATGAGAAGACAAAAGGCATTTAAGGGGGTTCTTCTTTACTGTTGAAACAGTTCCTTGTGGTTTCTCAAAGTTTCTTTTGTTAGTTTTTATGGTTCGGGGAAAATAAACAATTGGAAAACAGAACCCCAACAAAGATGCTCCAAATTCATGTTGTTCTAAGGTTCAATCTTCTCGAGCATAATTGTAATTCAGGGTTTCTGGTAAAAGACTTATGGTGCAAGGCAATAAAGGCTGTGAAAACAGAACAACATAAAGACGCCATGATTATTGATTTTGGAGGTCATAAGATGCACTCCTATATAGCAATTTATGGACATACAAAATTTATAAGTGCACAACAGAATTCTGAACAGAGAAATAATTTTCTACTGCTTGGTTGCTAGTGATCGATTGTTAGTAATAAGAACCACTGCACCAATAAATTATAAATGTAGATGCAAAAAGATTAAATAAAAAGGCAAAGACTAGTCAAACTCAAATATCATATAAATTAATTCAATTAAGAAAGAACTTGGAAAAATTCTGAATATAAAAACTTACAAATCCAAGAATTACTAAGGAAATGACACCCAAGATTTGAAATTGCAATGTTTTCTTCCATGTGTTACTGTGAATAACTCCAAGAAAAGAGAAGAATAATTATTGAAAATATGAAGATGAACATCTCCTTTTACTTTGCTACAGAGCATGAATAGAAGTTGTAAGCATGCTTAACATGCAATTATAAAGTCACTATAAATCGTGTAAATTTCATTGTCATAGATCAAGCTTAGTAAACTGAAGGGAGAAATAATTTAACTAACACCTTTTTTATGAACCACAGGCAGCTTTTGGGTCAAGAACTTTCTGGACTCAACACCAAAGATCTAACAAATCTGGAAAACCAAATTGAAATGAGTTTGAAAGGCATTCGAAAGCAAAAGGTAAAATCTACACATTTAAATTCTTCTGTGTTCATGAAACTTATGCTAATATCAAGTCTACGATCTGTCCCAAAAGTATTACTCCTTTTTTTATTATAAGGATCCTAAATGTATTACTCTTTTCTTGCAGGAGCAGATTCTGACGGATGAAATCAGAGAACTAAATCAGAAGGTCTTACCAGAAAAACTATAACAACTTCCATATGTCTTTAATCTTTGCACCAAGATGATTAATATTGCTTCTACAGGGCAATCTTATTCATCAAGAAAATATAGAACTCTATAAAAAGGTAAACCTTATTCGACAAGAGTACACAGAATTGCAGAAGGTACTAATTTAGAGAGTATTCTCCAAATGTTGTTTGAGTATGCAGTATGCACCACAAAAATGTGATTTTACATTAAACTTTTACCACACGCATAGATGTCCTTGACCTTGATCTAAGGAAAACTTATCTATTCAGATTTCTGAGCAAGGATATGAAAGTGCACCAAATGGGGGTCTGCAGGCCACACATACAATCAGCAATGGAAATGACCTACATGCACCAATCAATCTCCAGCTAAGCCAGCCACAAACACAGAAGAACGGAACATCAACAAGTGTCATGCAACTTGGGTAAATTCCTATCAGAATAATTAGTCATGCTTCAAACTCTAGCTTCTCCCCCACTCCCATAATTTGATCCCTCCCTCAGAGGGCAATAGAGAAAACGTGACATTAACTCCACCACTATTACTTTTTAAACAGGCTACAACTGCACTACACAGAAGACTGATAGCTCTCTGTTTTCTCAACTAGACCTACATCTAAAAGACACTTCTATGAATCCCATTCTTGATCAAGCTAGAAGGAAAAAGTTCATCAAGCCTGAGGAGACTATGCTCTGCTGATATGTTGGAGAGTTTTATGATTGATGTGAACATGCAGACGTTATCTATGTAAAGTAATTTAACTTAAACTAAGAATAAAAACATGAGGATTATCACTTGTGACTTGTCAAGGTTTGCTTCAGTATTATATGTGTTGAATGAAAATGGTTGTACATTAATACCTGTGATTGGTGCCCATCCAGGATGACTCAAATAAGATTTGGTTTCATGTAACTGTACAAGGCTGCATCAAACTCGGAAGAAATTTTATTTGAGTTCCATGGCTTAATTTCCCGTTTCTGCTCAAGAGCCCCTTTAAAAGAATGACTCCAGAAATTTGAACTCAATATTGTAAGATTCTCAGCCTTCTTATAGACTAAGAAGGCTTCCATACACTCTCTTTTTCTGAATGCTTCAAGATACTAGTAATGCACTATCCTGCAAACTATAACATAAAGGTTACACAACTACAACATATTGCCAAAATTCGATCAGTGAACCAAACGATGCTGTCAAACCAATCGAAATAGGAAAAAATAAATGCTGAAAATGCAAAATCTGACCGGATAAAGTTTAACATTAGGATCATTTTATAAGTATTCATAAGCATGTTTCTATTGTTATAAGGACCGATAATTCCTACATCCAATGCATCAAAATCACCCACAATTAAGCACGTGAAACATTAAGAGCCGCTGAAACCCTGTGAAAACGGGAAGTTGGACAAGATATACTAATTCATCAGACACCTCTTTTTGTCAGCCAATTCAAACTAAGAAGAACATTGACTTTTAACTCCAGACATGAGACTACAATAGGGTCAACTTTCAAATACCAGAAATTAACTACTCTTAGACAAGTTTACTTTAGTTAACTCAACCTTAAGCCTGGAGGGAAAATTGACTAATCACTACACGGCTATACAAGCAAGTTGCTACATTTGGCTAACTGAATCTTAGGCTGGGAGTTGAGTGCAATTACAGGGAAATTTTTTCAACGTTTTCAGTTCACCTATGAGGAAAAAAAATAGAAGGAAAAGAAGTCCAGCTGATGTAGTTAGGAAATTCATCTGCAAGGCAAAAGGTAAATCTAAAATGATCAGACAGATCAAATAGATAGCAAAGGATCACCAACAAATGAGGTTTTGCCTTTTGGGACATCTATACTATATCAGAAGGACCAATAGCAAGAAGGACATCCATACACTAAGGTTGCATATGCTCACAGTACATAATAAAAGCATTGCACGCAACTTATGATAAGAACATATACATGCTCAATGCAATGCATCCAAAAGTATAAAAAGTGGATGTATACGCTTGGAAGCCCAAGTGAGAAGAATTAAGGCACATAAAAATCGGCATCATCCATCACATAAATGAAAGTCACCAAAAAGAAAAGCATAACACTCTGAATGTTTCAAAGTTTCAAGATCTAGTGGAATTTCATTCAACGTACTGTGAGCATTTGCAACCTTAAAGTGACAAGTAAAATTTATTATGTACTCAAAAAGTGCTACTTTATCTATAAAAGTATGTTTAACAGCAACCAGCAGCGGTGGTTACGTTCGAGGAATAAGGAAAATTGATTTCAGTATAAAACTCTGCATTACTTACAGCATTTTTTTACGTTATAGAGCTTTTCTTTACTAATATAATCTCAACATTACTAATGCAGTATTTTAGTTACCTTTTTATCAAAGGTTATGCAAGAGTTTAGTATCACGTGTTTTATAACTAATATTGGCACAACTTTTTCTGAAATTTATATGGAATAAAATAAAATGTGAAACAATAAGAAAACATCACTTCCATTAAAATAAAGGCAAGAAGAACCTTCATTTGAGCATGGGGATTCTATCTCGATGATAGAAGGAACTACTTGAGCACTTGACAAGAAGAAACTTCATTTGCCGGAGCTGGGAATGTTGTGTGTACTTTCAAGTTAACGTTGAAAGATTCACTAGAACGAGTATGCATGGGATATTATGATATGTGATCTGTTTGGTAAATGGGAGATAGTGTTACTAATTCGAGCATTAGGGAAACCAGCAGGAAATCAAAGGCGACAATGCCTTGAGATGGGAGTAATAAAAAAAATCAATGGAAATAAGATAAAAGGATAAAGGAGTCGCGAGCAAGAGAAGTTAGGTTTTCTACCCAACACAGTCTTTTTCAACCCAACATAGCTTTTCAATAAAACCAGTGTATTCCTCGTGATTATACGTTGTATGAACCAAAAATCTCTGCCATTCACTGGACACAAACTACCAGCTGTCATCCTTCCACTGCTCATCCTTTCAATGCTCAGGCAGAGGACCAGTCACGAAGCCCCAACATGATGATGCCCTCGAGATTCATGTTCAAAAAGAGCACACAACAGTGATACAGTGACCTTTTAGTGGACCAACACTCCACTTAAACTACCCAATCTAATCCACATGAAAGAAATCTGGGAACCCATTCAAATTTGAACTTGACAAATATCCACCACTCCAAGAGGCTCAAACTCACAATTATAGGGTTATTTGAAGTACATTTTCAGCCAATTGGTTTTGTTCTTCTCCGGCATAATTACAAAACAAACTTGTTGCACTTTATAGTTGCGTGATATGTTAACCACCTAACTACATCGAGAAAAACTAGCAAAATTTTATCATTGGCCTCCTGACCAACACAATAATCAAGTTTATGAAGGAACCAGATAAATCAAGCAATATCCGCAAGTACTTGCTTCAACATTTGTGGCAGCTTAAAGGTTATCCACTAGTTTTAGACTTTTAGTTGCTTGATATGGTAAAAAATTAAATCACATCAGTAACTATGCAAAGACATACCCATGATTACAAAAACAACAAAACTATCCCAACTTTCCCCTAGATATAGAATGTGCCTAAACTCATTTGCTTCCAACACTTCTCCTATAAAGAGCATAAAAATTGACAATCCTGAGACTTAGTCGAAGTTCAAGATTGTAGAAGATTATTTAAAGAAAAGGTGGGATGTTTTAGCTTCTTTAAGTTTCTTTTGGTTCAACATGAATTAGCAAGAGAATCAATAGCCACCGCAGTATCAAGCACGAGAATGCAATGTATTGAAACCACAGCCTAAAATATCTCCTAAGTTCAAAATCAACAACAACAAAACACAACGTATAATCCCACAAGTGGGGGCTCGGCCTTATCCCTACCTTGTAAAGGTAGAGAGGCTATTATGGATAGACCCTCGACTCAAGTAAAGCATATCAAGAAAACAAGCATGTGATAAATTTAATAATCAGATTATCTAATAACCTATGTAGTCATACGGAAAGAAAAGAAAAAACACAACTAATAAAGCTCCATAGCAATTAAGAATCATTAAAAAGCTATTCAAGATAAAGCAGTGAATTTCATATTAAAGAAAATGGACAAGTAGCTATAAGAACAAAAGAATCAAAACCAATTACTACTTTCTTGATCTATTGAAAAACAACTTGCATCACCAAAAAAATCCCAAGACAGCCCATAAAGAATAAGATTGTTAACATGACATGAATCAAGAAATTCAGAAAATCAAGAAAACTGAATGTTCAAGATTGTAGAAGGTTATTAAAGAAAAGACGGGATGTTTCAGCTTCTTTAAGTTTCTTTTAGTTCAACATGAATTAGCAAGAGAATCAATAACCACTACAGTATCAAGCACAAGAATGCAGTGTATTAAACCACTGCCTAAAATTACCCCCTAAGTACATTAAATTTCAAAAACAACAACAAAAAACACCGGATAATTCCACAAGTGGAGTCTCAGCCTTAGCCTTACCCCGCTCAGCTCAAGTAAAACATATCAAGAAAACAAGGGTGCAGTAGATTTCATAATCAGATGATCTAATTACCTATGTAGTCATACGAGAAAAAAAAACACAACTAATAAAGCTTCATAGCAATTAAGAATCATTAGAAAACTATTAAAATAAAGCAGTGAGTTTCATATTAAGGAAAACGGACAAGTAGCTATAAGAACAAAAGAATCAATTACTACTACTTTCTTGATCTATTGAAAAGCAACTTGCATCACCAAAAAAGATTCCAAGATAGCCCAGAAAGAAGAAGAATTGTTAACATGAAACAAGAAATCAAGAAAAGTGAATCAAGAAGAATAAATCAATGGTACGTTAAGAATGCATGTAATTTAGAAGCGTACCTGTCGTCAATGTAGAGGGGAAGAGGAGAGATAGTTGAAGAAAACAGACAGATAGACAAGCAAAGAATGTATCCCCCATTACACACAGTGATTTGGTAGAACAGAGGGAGGAGGAGGAGAGAGAAGAAAATATCTGGACGTTCAATGAATTTAAAATATTCGTGAAAAGAAGGCTTCCGTATCAACTAAATATACGTACAAGTTTTTATAAGCATATCAACACAGGGGCACTTTTGTCATTCTCTTCAAATGCCGATGGCGATGACCGGTTTTTTATATTCCACCCTCGTTTTTTTTTTAATTATAATCTATTTTTTAATTTTTTTAATGTAATTAAAATACCTCAAATCATATTAAAATATCACCAAAGCTACAAATATACATTTTCAACACAAGTTGTGTATTTTAATTTCCACATTCATATAAGGTTGCAAATTAGTGTACTAAAAAAAATATTATTGTCCCCAAAAAACTGCATTTTCTTGATATTTATTAAATATTTGACAAAAATAAGAATCTTTCAAACTGCCTCAATATTAAAGTTTTGCTTATGTTTTATGCTTCTAAGACCTTGCTTCTGAATTTCAGATGTTTTTGTAATTAACAAAAATAAAGAATATTTGTATCTTATATTTAGATCAAAATTATAGAATTTTATATATATTGTATATATATAAAAATATAAACACTTGATCATAATTAATTAACTTTATTAAATTATTTATTATACTAATAATTTACATATTTGATAAAATATCAGTGCAGTAGGGGTGGGCGTTCGGTTTTTTGGTTCGGTCCTTCGGTATTCGGTTTTAGAAAAGTGTGCACCATATTTCAAACCAAACTAGATTGGTTCGGTTCGATTTTTTCTACTTCGATTTGATTTAGTTCAATTTTTCGGTGTCAACAAAAATAAAGAGAGAATATGATAAAAAAACAATTGTTATTCACTTCACACTTCAAACTTCAAAGTAATAACTAAACGTCCAACAATAAAAGGTAAGAACATCAATTTGTTGTTCTCACTTCAAAGTAACAACATAAAATGATAAAATCATAAAGTAGAAAGTAGAAACACCAAGTTGCTGCTCAAACTTGAATTAAATTGAGTTTTGTTTAGTTTAGACTTTAGGTCTTTAGGGTTTACTATTTTGTTATTTAGATTTTTGCTATTTAAGTTTAGGATCTAAATATAAAAATTGAAACGGGTCAAGTACAGTTAAAAATTAAGTAATATAATAAATACTTTTAAATTTATTTAATAAAACTTCGGTTCTTCAGTGCACCATAGTATCGGGACCCTTACACCGAACTCCGAACTGAAGTTCTGAAAAAGAAAATCGACACCGAACCGAAACACCGAAGAACCGAATTTTTTCTGTTCGATTCAATTTTTCGATATTTATACCACCCCTACGGTGCAGGTAAAATATTTATCAATAAACTATTCACGGGGACTATTTTAAACCTACTTTAAAACATACAGACCATTTTGATAATTTTCTCATCCCGGCTTCACTTGTGTTCGTGTCGTCGCTGAAAAAACAACGCAGGCCTCTTTCGCGGGCTCAGTCCAAGTTCGCCGCACTTACGACGGCGTAATGCCGTTGTCAATTTTCCGGTATCGGAGTTATGCTTTAGCATCGCCGTTAATCCGGTGCTTCAGGTCACAAGCAGCATTGAAAGCATTGGCTAAAGCATCGGAAGACAAAATCCCAAATCTCATCCTCTACAATTATCCTTCATTTTCCGGGGCTTTTGCCGCGCTTTTCACTCACCTCTATCACTCTCGTCTCAACATACCGTACCTCGTCTTGCCTTTCTCTTCCGTCGAACCCTTCAGGTACGTTTTTCTTAATTCTTCACAGTAGAAAAATGCAATAAAGAAGGAGGCTTCACATAATATAGTATGAATCCAAATACTACCTGAACAGAGACAAACAGAGGATTCATGTAATAGACTCTTAACTATTTTGGATGGACTATTAGTTGATTGATTAAGCAAAGCTGTTATGTTACATATTCAAAGAAGAAAAGAATTCGTAATATTTATCCTATAGTTTTATATATTCTCTATTCAGCTCGTGTCTGGCATTGAACATGGATTATTCTTTTTCCCTTTGTAATTTTCTTGATAGAGTTGAAGACTTGTGTATTGACGGGCTGCAAAATTGCTACTTCCTTGATTTTGTTGGTCCAAAAGGATTTGCAGATGAGCTTGCTCAGCGGACGTCATGCCAGTAAGTTTTTATTTTTTTTGTTTATTAATAAGCATAAATTTCTTCAGATGCTGGTTGTTCTCTTGATTTTTACTTTGATAATGATTCTGGAAGTTGGAGACGGGACATGAATTGATTTTTAAATCAAATTAGGATAGTAGGGTTTGATCACCGGAAGTCTGCTCTATCCAAGATCCCTTTGAATCAAAGCTCTTGTGGGAGTCTCACATTTCATGTCAACCTCGAGAAAACTAGTTCAGTTGCTGTTTATGAACATTTCTCTTCTAGACTTTCAGAGGTTGGATCCAATAAGGTGCATTCTGTTGTGTTTGTCATTGGCAATACTTGTTTTTTAGCTAGATTGTTTTTCAAAGCGACTGGCCCTAAAGTGGTGACGTATGTGTGTTTTTAAAGCACAGGGGGATGCTATCAGCTTGCTAAATTCTACTTTTCAAGATCAAGTTGAAAATGTTCTAAAATATATAGAAGATGGAGATCTTCACAGGTGGAGTTTGCCTGATATTAGGGCCTTTGGAATTGGAATTAACCAGTGGCGTTCAAAATTGAATTGCATCACTAATCCACATATGTATAATCAGGTTCGCAGTTATTTTTTGCTTTTCTCTTAGGGGTGGGATGTGGTGGTTATGGAGGAGGGGGGGGGGGAGGTCACTTGGTTGTCTAGGATAAAAGACTGAAGATAATAAAGTATGCATTTGATTCTATGTAGTTTTTCCATTTTATTGTGCTCATATGGAGTTGATCTAAATAAGTTCATGTTGCATTTCCTTTTACATAAAATGTTTTCCCTCAGTAGAGTATATCTAATGTTTTCCCCCTTAAAACAGCTAATGGGGATCCGCACTGGTGATTTAATTGCTACTGGGAACTCCCATATTTCAAATAAACTGGCTGCGGCACACCAGTTGCTGGATAAGTTTTTCAAAATTCGGCTGGGGAGAGGACTTTATGGTGAATGCTTGGTAAAGAAGAAGAATCTTTTATGACGTTTTCTTTTGAATTGACAACTTACTTCATAATACTCAAAAATACTTTGAAGTCTCTAAGAGTACAGCTGAATGTATGTCAGTATTTAAAGAATTTAATTTCAGATGTTTGATAACATGTTATACAACTGTCTGCTTGACTTGTTTTCAATCTTCTATAGGTTTTCCATATGCCAGGTTATTCATGCTTAGCCAACATTACTCTATTTCAGTTATAATTATAAATTTTGTTTCCCATTCTCATATAATTAAATGAAGTATTTAAATTCTGTTTTATCTTTTAGGGGGTTAGAGCTGATGGCAATCCAGACCTAAGTGATGAAATTGGCAAGGAACTAAGCAAGAAAAGCGCTTCAGTTGGACTCAGGTTTTTATGCTTATTTATCTTCTTTTTTTCTCTAACGTGTTCGTGGGCATTGAGACATTTTTATTACTTCACTTTCGAACTAGAAAGATCATAAGCTTCATGATCCATATTCATGACTAGTTTTATGCTAACAGAGCACACCTTAGGTTATTTGTTGCTTTTACCACAATTTAGTACTTGTAACTGCTGCTTTTACTTTGAATCTATTATACCCCAGGCCTATAGGAGCAGTCGTATACCTTCAGCGGAAGAATCTCAAGATGTGTCTGAGGACTTTCGATGCTGCTACTGATACTTCAGAAGTTGCCAAGGTCTGCATCATGATTCACTTGTCTCTGTGGTTATTTACTTATTTATTTATTTCTCTTCACCTTGAAGATATTCCTCACCACTAAGCTCTTTGAAATTATTCTGCCAGTTATGCTTGTCCCGTTCACACTCCCACAAACAAACAGACTCATGCTCTTAACTTTTCGTGCCAACAAATACTTTGCTTCTTTAAACATGCAGGCATATGGTGGAGGTGGTTCTCCTAGTTCTAGCTCATTTATAATTCGGATGGATGAGTATAACCAGTGGCGCTCAGTGCATTCATCTTAAGTGGGGTACAATATGAATTTCCATCCTCTTCATAGTTAAGCCAACTCATATATGAATCATTGAATTCCTTTTAAATGTTTATGTGAGATAGATGCGTTCTCGAAGTAATCATTTAGCCTAGGCAGATTAGAGGTAGTATATACTTAAAATGGCATCAAGGGAATGCAGAAGTGCAAAAAGACAAAATGTACATCAAGAAAGGAGCAAGAAGAGGGATGAGATCTTGGAGGGACCATCAGCTAGTTGAAAGGACATCTTTCTCTCTTTTTTTTCCAATTGGAAGTTGACTAGGAAAGTTTGAATAGTCTGTAATTTAGTGAAATTGAATTGTGATGCAGAGACCTATAATGAATTGTTAGTACATCCTCCATTTAAATTACATTGTCTTGTTTTCCTTTTTAATCCGTTCCAAAAAGAATGCCTCTTACCTTTTTTGGCAACTCTTTAATTTTAACTTTCCACATGGCATGTTTAAAATCACAAGATTAAAAGACATTTTGATTCATTCTGCATATCTTTAGTTTAAGACACAAGATTCAAAAGTCCTCTTTACTTTCTTTAATGCTGTGTCAAGTCAAAAGCAGGCAAACAAATGAAAACAGAGGGAGTATTTGCCAATTTATGTGGCACAATTGGAATTTCAAACTTTTAAACTTTTACCATGAATTCAGACATGGAAACTTTAAGTGTTGTGAATAAAATTTATATATTTGAAAAGTACATAAAATATACTATAAATTACAGAAATTAACAACGTAAAATATTTTAAAGGCATATAATGAATTTTCGGTCAAAGAAAAACTTGGTTGACTCTCGAAATTCCAACTGTGCCACATAAATTAGGGCGGAGGGAGTACATCTGTATCCCTTAAATCAGTGAAATCCATCTTTCTTATCTTATAACAACTTCTAAATTAAATTAATATTACTACTTAGCAAAGAAAATATTAAAGTAAGGCAGTGACAATTGTAGGGATAGAAAACTGTGCAGGGTGGTGCAGGTTTATGCATGACGGGGTGGGTTGAAGTCTTTGCAGGTTTTCCCCGCAACCGCCCCGCCCTGCCCCGTTTGCCATCCCTACCTCACATACAAGTATTCCTGTGTTTGTGCACGTTTCAGTTTTCCTCCTGCTACATCAGACTGATGGATGCATAATGGCTTTCAGTCTCAGAGAACATCTTCTCAGATTGTAACTGCATGACCTTTTTTTACTATAACCAAGATTGGGGAAGATAGAGTGCGAAGAATTTAATTCTTCCATGGCAAATGTGATTGCAGTTGAATACACAGTAGAACTGTAGAAGATGCTAACAATCTTTTTTTACAAGAATGTTTGTCATTACTTACAAGAGAGAATTTAGGTGGGAGCAATATGCAGAGTAATGAGTAAAGTGGTGATGATTTTTCAAATCTAGATGTGTAACTTCTGAATACTACTTGAGAGAATATAGAGATTATTTTGGTCCCTTGAATACATATAGTTTATACTGAATATATCCACTTATCTAGCTGGACACCCATCAACAGCTATGCCTTTGGCTGTTGGACAAGTTGCCAATTTACAATGTTCCCCGTTGGTTCCCCACCAAGTCACTCCTTTATTCTCCATTCCCAATGAGAAATATAGTAGGACTGCCATGAAAGCTACTCCTGCATCCAATGCTGCGGATAGAATGTAGTTGTATCTCTGCCACCATTGCTTTCGGTATCGGAAGATGAAGAAGTTGAAAATTGTGCCGACAATGACCCATGCATTATAGTTTAATGGTGTTGCTGGTGGCATGGCACCTGTTGCTCCCAGAAGAACTGGAAGGTTGATCAGGGGAATCCATGATTGTGTTGGAAACATTTTATGCAAGAGCCACACTATTACAGGTCCTATTGCTCCTCCAAGGAAGAACCAGTTCATGGAGCTGTAGTTCCCAAGGGTTCCAAAAATCCTTTTTGGTCCGACTAAACCCCAGATAACTGATGCATCGAAAAAAACACGATCTCCTGGGCATGTCCATGGACTGTTTGGTGGAAGGAGATCATCTTGACATATGTTCTCGATGGAGTTTAGCAGCCACCATGCCACAGATATGTTGATAGTTCCAGAAATTATTGTTCCTAAAAACTGGAATTTAACCAAACAAGAATGAAAAATATTCTTCTATGCTGGAATTTACTGTTGTTTGGAACATTGATAAATTCTAGTTGCTGGAAAAAATTGACTAAGTTAAATAACGTGTCTCAGTACTTCCTGATGAAAGGTAAATTGCTAAATTCTTGTGTATGTTGATAGATTATGAAATCCTTACTCTCCATATTTACTTGTTTTTCTTGTATGCTCAACTTTATTCTACCCTATATAGCTGCTTTTAATAAGCATTGCACTCATAATTTAGCATTTATCTGATTGTGGACAACTATCTACATACATATTGAGGTAAATGCCTTTTGGTGCTTTCCGTGATTATTTTTTTTTATACAAAAATGGGGTGGGAGGAGATTGGGCTTTTAGTGATGGGTTTGGAAATGCAAACTCAGTTCATTGAATTGATGCTCAATTCTATACATCTATGCAGTGATCTAATGTCTGCATTTAGTGTCATTTATATCTCGGCACATAAAACATGTTTTCTCTCTGAATTAAGACACTGGTGACTATTCTGGATGTCTTAAAGACATGGAGAAGCTTCTTCATTGTGGACTTATGGTCTCTCTACCTAGGAAATTGTTACTGCTAATATTTGCTGTATACTAGAACCGCCAAGTTCATCACTGCTTTATTTCCAACTTTTTGGCAGAAATGATAAAGTGAATATACCTGAACCAAGAACATTGATCGAGGGGGGATCTTCATGTAGTGGCCCAGTTTGAAGTCACTGAGGAAAGAGACAGCCTGTGACATACTCATGTATCCATAGACTTTGAAGCACACATTGGCTATTGGTCGTCCTGGTAGTATTATTCCCATGACATATTCAGTGATTATGTTCAAGCCTGGGGTCTGCAAATTAGCATCATAAATAAGAAGCTTGGAAAGAACTCTATTGAAATAACAAGGGTGATGATCTTGGATCTATTATTTCTATAAATCCAACTAGTTTAAGGTATCAGCCATTGATCAGCGCTTGCATATTGGTATGTTAAACAAAGAGTGAATGATGGTTGTTTAGTAATACTTAGAGCTTCCAACAATAGTACATTAAGATTTCGTTGGAAGCTCGATGCTAATAGCCTATATTTTGGCAGGATAAACAGTTCAAGCATGCTAATTAATCTGATAGGCAAGACATGCTTGTGGTGCTAAATGTTAAGTGTAAATGTGTATGCTTTATCACCTGGTTTGTTGTAGCTGTTATTATGCTGATTGGAAGCGTGAAGATAAAAGCAATAGCACTTGCAAATAGAAGCCCCCACCATGGCATCTGGACTTGGTTATTCAAGAAAATGCAGAGGATTAGGGAGACTGCTAGTGTCACCAGAAGCAATGCATTGAACCACCATGAAGGTATATCTTTGTATTTCCTCATTAGTCTTGTATGAATATCCTCCTTTCCCTTATATGAAGCTCGGAATCTTTCATATATTTCCCTACACATTGCAAGTGGACGATAAATAAAATCCTTAACCGCCATTGTTGTAGCTTATTAATAAGCAATTCTTAACCTTATTCATAGTTCTACTAAATTGTAGAAACTTTGCTGCTAAACAGCTCTATATATGTAGCAATTGAGTCGTCAAAATTTTGAAGAAATGTAAAATTAATCCACACATTATTAATTTTGGGCTGATAAGACAGACATGTAGTTCCAATTTTAAAAAACATAGTTTTTCTCAACTTCGATTCTAGATTGTAAAACACTAGGAGCAATTTGACAAAATAGTAGTACTGTGGCTTGACAGTTAGTGTGTTTTACCTTCCATAGAACAGTGCCACGTGTGTAAGAGTAGATGCTATAGTAGCAAAACCAAAACCGTAAGTGAGAGCAAAGAACATGCTTATATGTATCCGCCCTTGCTCCTCATACTTGCCAATATCTAGCTCAAACTTGTCATTCACAATGGCTGATATATCGTACTTCTGACCTTGTGATGTGTATAAGTGCGATGAGAAAATGGGAAATTTGGAAGCACCATACAAGTCAAATCCCCAATATGCTATTGGAATCACCATGTATATTATCAACATGTACCCTGCAAAGATGTTGACAATGGCAAAGAAAGGGCAGATGAGGGGGCTGAACAAGAAGGATGCCACAGCAGACCAATCTAGGGTTATAGCTCCAACTCCAAGGCCCCTCATGCCTGATCCAATTTGCTGAGCTGTCACTGATTTGGAGAATGCCCAGCAGATCCATGAGATGCTCGTGAGTGTTGAGAATAGATATCCTGGTACCAAATACCAGCAAAAGCTGCATATCAATGCAATGAGGAAAAATTTTGCTCTTGACATACGCCGGTCATCTTTCTCATGCAAGGCCCTACAAAGATCAATGACCCGTTTGAATAAGAAAATTACTGTTTACTTGTTCTATACAAGCGCAGCTGGAGGGAAAAGCCTTTCAACAATTGCATAGTCTGAAATGAATGAAAAAATTTGAAACAAAGAAATCAACTTTTTTTGATTGAGGTATCGTTGTTGTTGAATAGAACCTTACAAAACTATTTTGGGTTAAATTGGATTTAGACTCTAAATGTCTGGTCCAGGACCTCCTAGGAAGAGGATGATACTATGTCACGATAAATTGTATTCCTTTATTTTAATTTATGTGTCTTTCTTTTGTTTCAAAGGAATGTCACCTTCCTATATTTAGCAAGTTTTAAATTTCAGCGTTCACTTATATTATACCCCTGAACTATTAACTGTATAAACGTGTTTATGAGACCTCAGTTTGCCATTTTACAAGAAGAAAGACTGTATTCTTGTTTCTTTGCATGATATTTATCAGGAAAATGAATTAAGCTGTGATCTTGCATATGATCAACTAGTATTTCATTATTGATGTATGATCTTGATGACACCATAATCTGGTAATCAGCACGGCAGTCGTAAACGGTGAAGTTTAAGGGAGGATTACAAATTACGTGTATATGGCCGGGTTGGTTCGGGTTTTTCAAATATCAAATCAAACTATTTGTGTCGGATTTTTGAATTTATAAACCAAACCAATAAAACTCGGGTTTTTTCGGATTTTTTTGGGTTTTTGGATTTTCGAGTTGTTTTGGGTTTTTCCAGTAAAGTTTCATACAAATATATAATTTACTTGTACTTCAATATTTCTTTAGTCTTATCAAAATACAACTATCTAAGGTATTTTTTTAATAAATAACACAAATATGATATGATTAATGACCTAATCCAACAAAAATAATAATAATGAAATCGTATAAAACAAATATTGCAAATTAACAAGTCATAATAAAAATGATCATAATTTAAAAGTACTAAATCATGCTAAAAATAAGTTTAATAAGTATTAGTTACATGACTAAATATTAAAGGAAATTAAAATTAGATTATGTATTTTAATTGTTTAAATCAATGTAAAACTAAAGAACAAATATTCAACATTATTGTCATTCTTAGTGTTGAATTGATTTTCTTTTTGCATTAGTATTAATTTGATTTTGATTTAAGCTTTAATTACCAACATTTGTGGACTATAATCTTTATTGGATCATTCAGAATTCTAAGTTTCAAACTTGAAATAATATATTAAAAGATAAAAACTATGAAAAAGTATAAGAAAATTTAAAAATTATATCAAAGTAAATATTTTTATGTATAAAATAAAATTTTAAAATTATATATATAATATCGGGTGGTTTGGCCTCGGGTTGGTTTTATTAGTTAAAACCAAACCAACCCAAATATAGTTGGGTTTTTTTTTCAATACCAAATCAAGTCAAATCAAACCACTAGTCAGATTTTTTTTTCCAATTTAACTCAGTTTGCGGTTTAGTTCGGTTTTCGATTCGTACACCCTAATTGCAAATTGTCATTATGCGTACGTAGTTTGTAAACCGAACACATTGCAAAAGAGGTTAGTCTACTAACGAGTAACGATCAACTGCTAAATGTGAATTCTCTTTGACGTGCCTCACCCCTTTTACTGAGTAGCAGGAGTTCTCATATCTTATACTTACTACGCTACTTGTGTCAAAGAATTAAAGTTATAGCAGACCCAGAAGAACTTGATTCAATTATTCTTTTTTTAAAAAAAATAAAATGAAGAAGACTTTTGGGCTTCCCAATCTCGGGTCAAGGTAGAGACTTGATCCGGAACCTGAAACCTGACTCTTAATTATAATATTTTTCTAAATTATATCTAAATACTTTTGAAACAATATTTTATCATTATCAACTCAACACTTGGAGATATTTTATCATTATAAAGCTGGTTGGCAGCTGTCAAAGAATCGATTTAACATTTTAACTTGCGTGTGACCAGACCCATCTCATCTCCCCAACTCCCAAGTAAATAAAATATATATATACAATGATCAATTTGTTTTTCCTTGATAGTTGCATTATTTTTATTACAACAAATATGGACAGAACGTGGTCGAATAAGGTATACCAAAACCTAGAATGTGGGAAGTTTTCAATCTATTTTGTATTTATAGCATTTTGGAGATATGGCCAAATGGTAACACAAAGGACTGCAAATCTATATTTTTTTTTCTTTCTATTATGAGTATTAGATAAACCATTTAAATTAGGACAGATCTAAGAAATTTTGAATTGAGTTATTAGTTCATGGAGAATTATTTATTACTCCTATAAAATATTGTGCACGAGATATTTTGGACAAGGAAAGGATTGTATAGTTTGGGACGGGAAATAAAATAAAAACTTATCAGTATATATATATATATAATTCGGTCAATCAGTTCACAAAATTTGTACAAAAATAGTTGAGGTATACACAATATATAGAATAATGGTAAAAATGAAAAATTTGACGGATTACCGGAAAAGTGAGACCTGAACCAAAGTACCAGGCCACCACATATGGGCGGGCTCCACTACGTACTTCCTTAAAAGCCCAGCCCATCCATATCCCAAAACCTGTATTACATACAAAAATAATTATAAATTATATTCAAATTAGTCAAATATAAACACATACTACAATATTTTGTATAAAAGATGTGTGTCTACCATATATGTTTATTGAATGTTTCTTTACTCTGCAGTTATATATGTCAATTTCATTCACTCTTAAGTTTTATCCACTAAATTAGTGCATTTAAATGGCTCCACTTCCTATTCGATATGCGTTTTTTTAATAGAAAAAATTATATAAATACACAACTTAAGATATCATAATTTCTAAAATTTATCATTTAAAAAAATTATAAAATTTCCTCTCGGATACATCTCTATCCCGCTTCGAGGTACATCCATCCCTCTCGGATACATCCCTATCCCCCTTCGAGTACATCCATCCCTCTTGGATACATCCCTATCGTTAACTAATGTATTATTTGCAATGTATCGGACAACCAATGAATGTATTCGAGAGCAATGAAAAAATTGAAATTTTTGTAATTGTGGAAACTTTGAAGATAGGATGTAATTAGTTCCAAATGTATGAGATTTCTGGACGGTATACTTTTTAATATAGAAAATAAATAGTAACATTTTGAAAATTTTATTCGAAGTTGCAAAATTGTTTAAGGAAGCATTTAATTTATTTTTTAAAAAAAAAAAACTATATTCAAGTATCTACTTTCTCGCATCACTTCAATGAGATTATAAAACGAAACTTACACAAAAACGACAAAGTATTTTAGTTCTATATAAAAGAAATTTACATTATCAAGTCACCTAATATACTTGCATTTTTAGTAGTAGTATAATTTTTTATGCGCTTTACGTAACAATATAGGGAGGATGAAGATGAAACTTTGTTTTTACCTGAGTGGTAATAATAAGAATCCAACCAGCCAAAAATGAAATATTTCTGCGGTAAAAAGCTTTGATAATAGTCACTATTCCAACGGCATAAGCTGAACCATTCCCAAAGGCACTTCCAGCATTAGCAAATATAGAAATGAGAACATGTTCCTTCATATTAAACGGGCCTGGATTCAGCGAAAACAATCTCGGCCCGAAGCCCGGTAACCAGAACTTCTTCGTCGGGAGAATCGTAGCTAAGAAGTGACCGATTGGAAGAGTAGCCACTTGGACTGTGATTTGTGTTATAACTAATGGCTCCGTTCGATAAGAGAAAAATTGGTTGAGAAAAGAGAGTAAACAACAAGAGAAAAGGCCTAAAAACCACATTCTAAATGTCCATACGGGTAGGGTCGGGTCATCGGTGTTGGTCACCGTTAACCGGACTTCTTCAATCGGTGAGATGTCATCGTCGTTATCGGAGTTGATAGCTCCGGCGAGAGAATCTGGCTGGTAAGTTCCCATTATGAAAAAAAAAAAGTGAGTTAAGAGTACAAAGGCTAACGCAAGGATTATGGTCCTATTTAATGCATGGGGTTGCAATATGGTCCTATTTGTACAATATGGGCTGCAGCAAGTTGACTTACCATATTCAACGCTAAAATTCAGGGCAACTTGGTGGAGTGAGGACAAGTAGAGTGTGAATCAATAACACAAAATTACGTCATTTTTACTTGTTCAATATTATTGACTTGACATACACTTAAAAGAAATAATAATCAAAAGTCAAAATTCAAATTTCAAAGTAATTATTTTGCTTAGTCGAATTTAAATATACAGTGTTATTACTAGATATTGATATTAGTGAAAAGTAATAAGTATAGAAAGAAATGATAAAGATGCATACAAAACGAAAGAGAAAGAAAAGAGAACAGTTTTTTCTGTTTATAGAATGGGCATTAGATAAACTGCTAAAGAGATAGACAATGACATTTTTTGGTAAATGGTCTCTATACAATGGTTGCTATCGCTAGAGTAGCAGGACAACAATATATATATACTAGACTCTAGTTACTTTTCGTTGTTGATCGAGAAAATAGAGATTTCAAACTTGAGACCGTCTTTGAGAGAGATCATCTGCTCAACCAACTCTGTCGATATTAGTTAACGGTACTTTTTAATCAAAGTTATTATCAATATTTTTTAATTTGATTGTATAAATATTACTGTTATTGCATATAGAATTTGAGAAAGCTAATTCAACTCAAAACACTTATATAGGAAGCATCCTTAACCTTGCAGGTTGGAGAGTTATTCTAATAATATTACTAGCTATTGGCATGATATGTTTCTATATTTTTACTTAATGATAGCATGTTTTAAGGGATCTGTTATGATTAATTATATGTCAGTCTCCTTGATTATGTATAGTTTATCTGCTAATTAAGGAAACCTCAAGCCTCGTATTTCCCAAATGAGTTGTAAAATCTTAAGGATGCAAGTTCCATTTGACTTGGTCATTTCATTATTTTTCTTTTAGCAACTCTGCCTGGTAAATTCATGTATCAAGCCCATTGTTTACATTTGTTTATAGATCTGAATAATAATTACTTATGGATCGTGTTGAATATTCTCTTGCCTCTACGTACCTTTTGAAATAGGGGGTAAAACCTGCGTACACACTATTCTTTTCAAACTCCACCGGTGTAAATACACTAGCTAAATATATTTTTGTTGTGTATTTCCTTCTTTACCCTTTCTTCTCCCCCGTTTTTTCTATATATGTATCGTCTACTCTACATCAGAGATTCCAAGATTCAGAATGTGGGAGATTCTAATTAATTAGTCAACTGTTTGGCACACCACTAATCATACTTAATTAACTGTTCCAGCTAGTTCATTAATATTTAAGTCACATAATAATTTTTTACACTTCGAATGTAGCTAGTTTATAACTTTAACCTTTGGCAGATTACTAGTTACTACACCAAAAGTTTTGTAGAGCATTATTTTTTTTATTTTTTTTCACTTGTCTTTTATGAGTGGGTAGTTAATTAATGGTTAATTTACAAACCGGAACATTTAATTATGAAACAAAATCAATGAATTGTGCCTATATATGAGATCGTTGAAATTAGGTATATTTTGATTCTTTTGGAAACAAAGTTTTGTTCAAAAGTTAAATATCTCAACTTATGTATGTTATTAATTATATTGTAGTGTACAAGAGAGTTTTCTCGAAGAGAAATTATCATAAAAAAATTTGATCTCATGCATTTTCACAGTTAATAATTACACAAATTAAAAAGTATATAATGTGCCTTAAATAACATTCATAATTATTACATGATTGTTTTTGTTTATACTTGTAACTAGCCCTAATTTTACTTCTCCTTGGTATACCTTAAGGATCATCTGGTTCATGGGATGAAGAGAAAATTAAACTTGTAATATAATGTGAAATTATTTATTTTATTGTTAAGTTAGATTATTTTTTTAAGCGTAAATAACAACTTCAAAATTAATCACATTATATCATAATTTTGATATTGTTTTTACACCACATTCGATACAAGATGATAATCCTTAGATTATGCTAATTCCTTGATAAAACAATCAAAATTAATGACATTTAATACCTTCTCCATAGCTCTTCCCCAACATGACCACTTTTAACATTTTCAATAACAAAAATAATAGATGAATAACTTTTATACAACATTTGAAAAGTTGCCAATCAAATATAGTATAAAATTAATGTACGAATAACTTTTATCTTATTTGCAAACTAAACATAGTATAAAATTAATACATGAATAACCAAGTTATTTATATATTAGCTTTGACCTTATCCAGCTATCAAACAATCTCTAACAGTTTCTAAAAGGCTTATATATGTAACCATTACACAAAAGTTAATTTAATAGCTTTAATGTTGAGGAGATTTCATTGCATAATTGAAAGAATAAGGTAGATTTGAAGAAAACATAATATTACATAACCTTTTTTTTCGTAAATAAAATTATTATAAAACAAATGCAGTTTGTCTAAAATAACTAAAGCGTATTCAGAATCTAGTTTATCATACTGATAATAAATAAAAACTACAGAATAAAAAAAAATGAGGTTGAAATGCAGCCAGCAACAGTGTCAAAGGAACTATGTCGTTTCAAGCAGGCATCTAGAACTTTCTGGTCTACCTAGTTATGATACCATACACCGCCACGCAGCCAATAATAACTCTATCCCCTTCTACAAGCATCTGTTCCCCCTATTTCTTCGCCTCCTTCCCTAAAACCCTCCAAAACCCTAACACTCAACAACTCCCTCAACAATTACGAATTAGTTTTCTTCCTTTGTTTCTCCGATGGCGACCGCCGCCTTGCTCAGATCTCTCCGTCGACGTGAATTCGCTACTTCTTCTATCTCTGCGTATAGAACTGTGAGTTTTGTTCATTTCCTGCCTGTTATCTTTTCCGTCTGTTAGATCTTTGCTAATCTAATGTCTATAGCTGGTGATTTCATATCATACTGTGAATGATTTAAGCTTTATCACTTTCCTTGAAATGAAAATGAAATATAATTTCACATTCTGGTTATATTAGACCCACCCTTTTCGGTTTCTCTGAGTTTATGATTTGATTATGGGACAGAAAATATGTTCTATTGTTTGTTGGAGCTCAGCTATACACTCGAAAGGCTAGGTTACGTAATATGTTGCAATTGTGATAAAAAAATTCTAATATATAGGCTGCTTAATATGTCTTAGCTGTCATAGCTTTCGTCTTGATTTAGGAAAAGTTTTCGAGTTGAGATGTTAAAAGGAAAATAAAGGAATGTTGAATATCGACTACTGTTGCTGGTTGTCTCAGCTAATAGCGGGTTATCTCTTTTTATTATACTTCTGCTGTCGTGCCACAATTTTGTCAATATGGAATGGGTTTGAATATAGTAGAATGTAAATGTAAGATTCTATGTAACTGACGTAGTTAGTTAGGAATTAAGGTGTAGTTGATTGGTTTGTAAGATTCTATTTTGGTTTAACCTTATTCTATTGTTGGCTTGTGCAGCTTGCTTCCAACACCAAGCCTTCGTGGTGTCCATCACTTGTTGGTGCTAAATGGGCTGGTCTGGCTCGACCATTTAGGTATATGGATTGTAGCATCGCTTTTCCCTATATATCTTTGAATGTTCTGTTTCTGTGGAATCTTATTTGCCTTCCATTGCAGCTCCAAACCTGCTGGAAACGAAATTATTGGGATAGACTTGGGAACCACCAACTCTTGTGTTGCAGTGATGGAGGGGAAGGTAAGGATTAGAATTTTTGAAATGCCAAACTTTTGTTCATTTCATGGTTGAGACACTGCATACTTTACAGGCTTCAGTGGATTATCTAACCTTCCCTGATGCTGCTTTTGTTAATGCAGAATCCCAAGGTCATTGAGAATTCTGAAGGGGCCAGAACAACTCCTTCTGTGGTTGCATTTAACCAGAAGGGAGAACTTCTTGTTGGTACTCCAGCCAAACGTCAGGCAGTTACCAATCCTACAAACACTCTTTCTGGGACCAAGCGTCTAATTGGCAGACGCTTTGATGATCCTCAAACACAAAAGGAGATGAAGATGGTTCCTTACAAGATTGTGAGAGGCTCAAATGGAGATGCTTGGGTTGAAGCAAATGGCCAGCAATATTCTCCAAGCCAAATTGGAGCATTTATTCTAACAAAGATGAAGGAAACCGCAGAGGCCTACCTTGGGAAATCTATTAATAAAGCTGTGATCACTGTTCCAGCTTATTTCAACGATGCTCAGAGGCAGGCAACAAAGGATGCTGGGCGAATTGCAGGTCTTGATGTGCAAAGGATTATTAATGAACCTACTGCAGCTGCGCTGTCTTATGGTATGAATAGCAAAGAAGGCCTTGTCGCTGTTTTTGATCTTGGCGGTGGAACATTTGATGTTTCAATCCTGGAGATATCAAATGGTGTTTTTGAGGTGAGAAATCTGTGGCTTTCTTTAAAGCTGTGTATCTTTCTAATTTTCCTGTCTTAACTCATCTCTCTACGTACTTCCACTCAGGTCAAGGCAACTAATGGTGACACCTTTTTAGGAGGAGAGGATTTTGACAATGCGTTGTTAGAATTTTTAGTGAGCGAGTTTAAGAGGACTGAGGGAATTGACCTATCAAAAGACAAGCTTGCCCTACAAAGACTTCGAGAGGCAGCTGAGAAAGCTAAGATAGAGCTTTCATCAACATCTCAAACTGATATTAACTTGCCGTTCATCACAGCTGATGCATCAGGGGCTAAACATCTTAATATCACACTGACAAGATCAAAATTTGAGACATTAGTGAACCACTTAATTGAGAGGACCAGGAATCCTTGCAAGAATTGTTTGAAGGATGCTGGAGTATCTTTAAAAGATGTGGATGAGGTCCTCCTTGTTGGAGGTATGACACGGGTTCCTAAGGTGCAGGAAATAGTTTCTGAGATATTTGGTAAAAGCCCCAGCAAAGGTGTCAATCCAGATGAGGCAGTTGCCATGGGAGCTGCACTTCAAGGTGGTATTCTCCGTGGTGATGTCAAAGAGTTGCTTCTTTTGGATGTAACTCCGCTATCTCTTGGTATTGAGACATTGGGAGGTATCTTCACTAGGTTAATAAACAGGAATACTACCATTCCCACGAAGAAAAGCCAGGTGAGTAGTTGGATCTTAATGCAGTCTCCTGATTATTTTTATTAATGCCTGGTCTCGCCAGAATGGTACTCCTTTCGTCCAAGATCCATATAATTTTTTCCATGTTGGGAGATTTGTGACCGTTCCATGTTTATACAAATATCACAATTTTCAAGAACCCTAAGTCACTGAAGTTAAATTTTAAAATTTGATGTGATTTTTCCTTGTCGGAACTTTTTGTTTCTATTCCATCATCCCCAATGTGACTTTGCAAATTAGCATCTTAAATCTTGTCTGCTGTCAAATATGGATCTGGAGAAGGATGACACATGATTGTCGAGGTCTTAATTTTCCAGTGTTGAGTATGCTTGTTTTTATGCTTGTTTTTTGTAGTGCTTACAGTGTGTTGTTGCCTCATGTATTTCAGGTGTTTTCTACTGCTGCAGACAACCAAACACAAGTTGGCATCAAGGTATTACAAGGTGAACGTGAAATGGCATCTGATAATAAGCTTCTGGGTGAATTTGATCTTGTAGGTATTCCTCCGGCGCCAAGGGGTATGCCTCAGATTGAGGTCACCTTTGACATAGATGCAAATGGAATGGTCACCGTGTCTGCCAAAGACAAGGCTACTAGCAAAGAGCAGCAGATTACCATTCGTTCATCTGGTGGTCTATCAGAAGATGAGATAGACAAGATGGTCAGGGAAGCAGAAATGCATGCCCAGAAGGATCAAGAACGCAAGGCACTTATTGATATCAGGAATAGTGCAGACACTACCATATATAGTATCGAGAAGAGCTTGAGTGAGTACAAGGAGAAGGTCCCCAAGGAAGTGGTTACAGAAATCGAGACGGCTATCTCTGATTTGAGAGCAGCAATGGGGACTGAGAACATTGATGATATCAAGGCGAAACTTGATGCAGCAAACAAAGCTGTCTCAAAGATTGGAGAGCACATGGCTGGTGGCAGTTCTGGTGGTGCATCTGGAGGTGGTGGTGCACAAGGAGGAGATCAACCACCAGAGGCAGAGTACGAGGAAGTAAAGAAATAGATGATTATTCTAGGCATAATTGAATAGTGCACGAGAAAAACAGAGAGAGAGATGTTATAGATGTACTTTCCTTCTAAAAATGAGTTTATTTTTTCCATCACTTCCCCCCCTCCCTGGAAGTATTTTATGCTCAAGGTCAAAACTGGTCGTATCAATGGTCTTAAGTTGTGAATTTCTTAGCGTCTAGACTATGTTCAGTAGAACAGGTGAGTATGATTTTTGACAGCCCTTCAATGTTGAAACAATCCTTTGTTTCCACAATAATATGATACTGTGCTCTTAATTTACAACTTTTTGCCTGCTTTATCTTTCCATATGTATGATGTATCTGTCTCAACTTAGCAAATTCTTTGGCAACCTGTAAAACTGATACCAATATACTCCCTCCGTTCACTTTCAATTGTCATGGTTTTCTATTTTAGAGTCAAATGATAAGAACTTTGACTAACATTTTACGATGTATATTTTCATTATATTGATATGCAAAACATTGTAATTTATAATACTTTTTGAACATTTAAATTTTTTGTTCAAAATATCAAATTATTGTAAACTAATTTAACTTTGAAAATTAGTCAAATTAATTTTCGAAAATCATAAATAAAAGTGGTTGGAGAGAGTATAATTCAACTCTTTTCTCAATATTTTGTTATTGACATTGCTTTTCATTTTGGAACAGTTTCAGTTGGAAGAATAATAAAATTTACACCTATTTTGATTGAATAAAATAGCACTTAATATTCTCATTCAGACAAAACATGAGCACTTGTTTCAAAACCAAACCTTTTTTTGTTTTGTTTTTTTGTATGAATTCAATTATATTCAATAAAAAATAAATTAAGATGAAGATTTGTTTGATATTGTTTTTTTTTTGGATGCAACCCTTCAAGAAGCATTGAACGTAACTTCTGAACCCATTAATTTAAAAAGAATTATCACTTCTTCTCAATATTTACTGTGAATGCATTGAACATAACTTTTGAGATTTATTTGCTTAGTGCTTAAAGAAAGCGAAACTTTTCGATCAGAAGCATCGTATATCATTAATGATCTTAGTTGAATTTAGAAAATTTAAATATCAATAGGGAACATCGCACATTTATTATTAAACATAGGAGGCTCGAATTCATATTAATCAAGCTAGTAGATTTGAATATCCAATGCTTAAAGCAAAAATTAAATTACAACTTCAAATCCTTTTTAACCAGAGAATTTCAAGTGGAAAATTATTAAAAGAACAAAGAATATTATAAGGGCTTTTTAAAAATCCTTTAAAATTAAATAAAACAAGAACTTTTAAAAATATTTAGTCGGTAATATATGGGGCATACTTCAACTAAACACAATTTTTCCATTTTTTCAAATCTTGAATATATAAAAACAATCACAGCTGACTAAATTACTATTAATATTTTGGTTGTTGAAATTGAATCAAACAATAAAACGTGTGCATATAAGTTGAAGGGATAAAAGTCTGGAAAATATCTTAACTTTGGTCGAAACTGTTGTTATGGATGTCAAACTTTAATGAGGACCTATTATCCCCAGACTATTTAATACCGTATTTTAAACATATATATTTGCCCACGTGGACATAAAAAATAATGCAAAATTATAAATAGTAATGTGTCCACATGGACACATATATACCTTTAAAATACACTATTAAATAGTTCAGGCAGTGGCGGACCCAGAATTTTCGTTTAGGGAATTCGAAAAATAAAAGTATAAACGTGTAAATAAGCCAACAAAACAAAATTTTAAAAAAGTAGTAGTATATAGTTTTAGTGGCCGACCCTTAATTTTTTTTGGGTTTAAAACCACACTTTTAGCATATTTTATAAAATAAGAAACTTAAAAAAAAATAAAACGAGAAAAACAGAACTGATACTAAAAAAAAAAAAAAGACTGAAACTTAAAAGAAAAAAAGAAAACGTTCACAAGGGATTCAAACCCTTGGACAAGAAGCTTAATTTCCAGGGGTCGTGCCACTGGGCCATTAGTTTCTCCTTGCAATTGAGGGGGTTCAAAATATGTATATCCACATAAATACATAAAATTAACCTTATATATACCCCGTAATTTTTTGCCGAGGGGGTTCGGGTGAACCCCTGGAATCCACGTGGGTCCGCCCCTGGTTCGGGGGTAAAAAATACACTATTAAATAGTTCAGGGTAATAGATCCTCCATAAAATTTAATATTGAAACATGCCCCCAAGGCCTAGCTCAAGTGGCAAAAGGTGGAGGATTTGTGGCTTAGGTCGTAGGTTCAAGTCCCACACCATGCAAAGCGAAGCCCGGTATTTAAGTGGAGAAGGGTAGAGGGGCGGGCACATTATCCACTGAGTTTAGAAGGCTGTGATTGGTCCAAAGGGCGGGTCACAAACGGATTTCTCGATTATCAAAAAATAAAAATAAAAAAATAAAAAATAAAAATTTAATATCAAAACATCAATTTCGATCAAAGTTGGATATTTTTCAAACTCTTGTGTCTGAGTTGAATCACAGCTACTTCTAATCTATTTCCCCTTTTTCTTTGCCTCTCGCTAAAACCCTAAACCCTAACACTGAACTTCCCCTTTACAGTTATAAAGTAGCGTTGGCCGCACAGCCGCCGCCTTGCTCAATCTCTCCTCGCCGTGAACTACCTCTTCTCTGTCCGCCGCCTATAAAACTGTGAGTTATTTTTTGAGCCTGTTATGTTTGTGTTCTGTTATTGTGGTTGATTTATATCATTGATGGTTTAGCTGAGTTTATGGTTGATTGTGGAACAGAGAATTTGTTCAACTGTTATAGAGATTGAAGTTGGATTACATTGAATGAAAGTATGTGTGAACAACTAATAGGTTTTATTAAGCCGGTTATATTTCTACCGGCTGAAGTTTATTACTACTATTCTTTTATTTATAAAATATTAAAAAAAATATGTAACTATCTGGGTCACAGTTCCACAAAATAAAATCTGCAATTCTTTTTTGACTATCCTGTGAAATACTTCCCTGTGAGCATGGAATTCAAGATATTTGGGAAAACTTTGTTATGTTTGCTAAATTGCCGTTATTAAAGTCACTTTAATGCTTACTTTTACTTTTAGTTGATTTTTCTTCGCAATCACCCTAAGGGTAAAATGGGGTGCTGCCAAACAAGGAAAAGTGACATTCTTTTTGGGACAAGGCTAAAAATGTAAGGGTGCCACATAAATTGGGACAGAAGGAGTACTATAGAAGTTTTGCTTTGGAAGATGTAGGTTGTGTTAAGTGAAATTTTGGCTTTGACAAGTTTAGATGCTGAATAAAACTGCGTATAATAGTGTTTATGCATTAACATGTGTCTGTATCTGAATTAATGAAATAATTCTAGAACTTTGCAATTTTGTTTTCTCTCAGAATATAGATTAATATTGAGGAATTTAAGCTTAACGTCGTTCTATTTTCATCAAGAAAACATTTTCTACAAGTTTTCAAAATTTTATGTATTTTAGGAACAACCAAAATTGAACTTAGGATCTTTGCAATTTTTTATATTTATTTTCATCTTAGAAAATATTGTACTATTTTATAGTACCTCACAACTTGGACATTTGACATGATAGACAAATATTGGAATTATGAGCATGGAGACGGTTGGGTCTGAGCAGTCAAGAGATAAAATGAAGAAAGACAAGAAAAAAAGGAAGGCCGAAACAGAGGGACCTGATACCCCATCAACCTCTCACATTTCTAGCAATCCTATGGAGAAGAAGAAGCAAAAAAGAGCTGTAGACAAAGAGAGGCGCAGAGTGGAGTCCGAGAAAAAAACTGAAGCCAAGCAAGTAGTGGTGTCTTCTGAATTGAAAAGTAATAAGAGCGCGGCGATTTCTCCCACTACTAGTGGATTGCCTGAGTTCCACATTGCTGTATTTAAGGACCTTGCAGCTGCCGAGGCTTCCATTAGAGAAGCAGCTGCTAATTCTTTAGTTGCTGAGTTGCTTGAAGTTCAGAAGGCTTACGATATTCTAGAGAACAAGGAAGTGGTTGAGGGACAGCTCAAATTGGAAGCTGAAAAGGATGATGGGTTGAACAACTGTGCCCCTTCGTTGAGATATGCAGTTCGGAGGCTAATTCGGGGCGTTTCTTCATCAAGAGAGGTGGGTTAGGTTAACTTTTAGCACAATGTTCTGTGGGTTTGTTTAAAATTAGTGCCTTATTATATTGACGATTTAATTTGAATGCTTCAATAAGGGCTATATGCCTTCCCATTTTCATTTTATTGTTGAATAATTTTTAGGGAGACTTATATCTCTATGGGTTCTTGTTGACATACCCATCTGATGAAAGCACATTCATTCTGGAAAGGTTGTATTGCACAATATGATGCTTAGGCTGTCTTTCCTGTCTTGACCTTTAAAATGTTATTTTATTTTATAATAGAACCATAAAAGGTTACCTTATGATCACACTTGCAGGTAGATACTCACAGCTTGTGCCATTGAGTTTTTTTAGTAGTCCTATGCTCTACAGTTTTGAATTAAAGGTTAAATGAAATAATGTAGGCTTAGAGACAGGTGTCTCTTCTGCTTATAGTTCCATGTGCCATGGTTGTCTCGATGAACTGACGTTCCCATATAAAGCCTTATCTGTTTCCTTGTTTGTGCAGTGTGCAAGGCAAGGGTTTGCATTAGGCATGACAGTTTTGGTTGGTGCTGTTCCATGCATAAAAGTGGATGCCCTGTTGAAGCTTATTGTTGAATTATTGGAAATCTCTTCTTCCATGAAGGGTCAGGTGGGAAGGATCTCCTTTTGTGAACTAATAGTTTTCTTATGGTCTGTCTGAAAAGTTTAACTTGGTTTTGTAGGACATGAAAGATTGCCTATTGGGACGCTTATTTGCTTACGGAGCTATTGCAAGATCAGGGAGATTAACTTTAGAGTGGACTGCTGATAAGAACACTCCTTATATTAAAGAATTTGTTGGTTCTCTTGTCTGGCTGGCAAAAAAGAAGCTCTACTTACAAGAGCCTGCTGTCTCAATTATTTTGGAATTGGTTGACAAGGTCTTTCACTTTTACAATCCCATGAATTGCAAATTTATTCTTAGTACATTCACTTTAGTTATCTATTGAAAATGACTTCACTTCTTGCGTCATTATAAACTCGTATGAGCTCATACATCCCCTTATTAAACTTTCAGTATCTTTTTCACTTGCCTATAAAACATCATCTCTTCCTACTCTTCCCGTTACATCTTACTTAATTTTGGGCAAGAAAATGTTATACGCTTATCCAAATAATATCACCTCTTCCTACTACTAAGATGTGGTTTTGTTATGCTGCCGATTTAACTTTCTTCATTTAGTGTATTTTTGCTTCAGCATGTTGTCCATTTAACTTTCTTCATTTAGTGTATTTTTGCTTCAGCATGTTGTCCTTGTCCTCTATTTGTGGTCTTTGCTTAGGCTGCATTCGGTTTAGACGTCTCACCATCCATATTTTTGCCATGCCAGTTACCTGTCGAAGTTTCATTGAACCATGTACTTGAAGCTCCTGGTCTTAAAGAGTGGTTTGAAAGTGCAATGGAAGTTGGAAATCCTGATGCTTTGCTTCTTGCCCTTGCCATACGTGAAAAAACTGGTGTTGATAACAAAGATTTTGGCAAGCTTCTGCCTTTTCCTTATAGCCCCAGCCGGCTTTTCAGTGTGGAACATTTGTCCTTGCTTTCCAATTGCTTGAAGGTGCTACTGAACTTCTTCATTTTCTTTCCTTGAAACAGATTGTTCATAGTTTGATTTGTCGACTTTATGTGCAGGAATCCCACTTCTGCTTGCCACGAACTCATAGTGTATGGTATTCCTTGGTAAATATTCTTTTACCTGAAAACGTTCAACAAGATTTTGATCCCTCATCAGCTTTAAATTCCACAAGGAAGCACAAAAAAGGCCGCAAGGGTAGCTCAGCAGAAGAAGATATTGAGAAAAATCTTAAAAACTTTTGTGAAGTTATCATTGAAGGATCACTTCTTCCATCATCTCATAATTGCAAGAATTTGGCGTTCAATGTTTTGCTGCTTCTCCTTCCAAAACTGCCCACATCGTGCATCTACAACGTCCTGTCTAACAAAGTTGTACAGTGCTTAAAGGATGTACTTTCCGCGAAAGACACTAATCTATTCAAAGCCAGTCAATACTTTTTAAGAGAATTTTCTGAGTGGGTCAAGCATGATGATGTTCGAAGAATGGCAGTTATTATGGCTTTACAGAAACATAGTAATGGGAAGTTTGATTGTTTCACCAGGTCAAAAACAGTTAGAGAGTTGATGGCTGAGTTCAAAACTGAGTCTGGATGCATGCTTCTCATTCAGAACTTAGTTGACATGTTCCTGGATGAAGCTCGTGCTTCAGAGGAGACTTCAGATCAGAGTCAAACTACAGATGACAACTCAGAAATTGGTTCCTTAGAAGATAAGGATTCTATTGGAGCAGTAGGAACGTCAGATTTTTTGAAAGGATGGGTTGTAGAGTCACTTCTCAATAGCTTGAAGCATTTATCTCTGGATACAAATGCAAAGTTCAGGGTCCAAAGAGAAATTCTAAAATTTTTGGCAGTGCAGGGTCTATTTTCTTCGACGCTTGGAACTGAAGTGACATCTTTTGAATTGGAAGAAAAATTTAGGTGGCCAAAGTCTGCCATTTCAAGTGCTCTTTGTAGGATGTGCATTGAGCAGCTGCAATTACTGCTATCAAATGCTCAAAAAGGCGAAGGACCTCAAGTTGTGCCTAGTGGTCTTGAAGCTAATGATCTTGGAGCTTATTTCATGAGATTTCTTACCACATTGCGAAACATTCCTTCTGTTTCGCTGTTTAGGTCCTTGGGCGACGATGATGAAAAAGCTATCAAGAAATTGCAGGCTATGGAGTCTCAGCTCTCAAGACAGGTGTTATTTTGTGTTGCCTCATTTTGTAGAATCGTAATAATGTTACTGACCTCAACACTAGTCAAAGTTTTGTTTCTGTGTGAAACCAATGCCGCTTGCTTTAGGCCTTTTAATTCTCTCTTTTATTGTTTGATAAGAACATACTCCAACTTTGGTGTGAGGTATCTCAGTAAGCTCTTATCTGGAACAGCCATAACTTGTTATTACTCATCTTATATTAATTATTGCCATCAACAACTTGTATTCTGTTTATGCATATTAACCACTATTCACCGTGTACAGGAAAGTGAAAACTTATCAATATTATCTGTGAAGAAGTTTGATTGCTAATCCTTTTCTTCTCTGACCTTAATCTTTTCTCCAAACAATGGCAGGAGAGAAACTTGGGTCCAGGTATTGCCAAAAATAAGTTACGTTCCATGAGGTACCTTCTGATACAATTGTTGCTTCAAGTCCTACTTCGCCCTCAAGAATTTTCTGAAGCCGCGTCTGAATTGGTTATTTGCTGTACCAAAGCTTTTCGATCTTCTGATCTTCTTGCTTCCTCTGGAGATGATGAAGCAGAGGGAGATGACAGTCCTGAATTCATGGATGTTCTAGTGGACACTATGCTTTCGTTGCTGCCACAGTCATCAGCACCGATGCGGACCGCCATTGAGCAGGTAAACAACAGAAAAAAAGCATAATATCCCATCAGTTCTTATGGTGATTTAATATTCCCCAAAACCCTGGCCTTGTGACATGCTAGTCATTATTCCTAATGCATTATTGCACCTACTGTATTTTGATGTGAACTTCATTCTGAATCTTTTTGACCAAATTAATAAGAGTAGAAACCTAAAAGGAAGTGAAGTTTTTACTTGCATGGATGTTTTGTCTTAGAAGACTTGAGTTCTCAATCTCAAGCTGTTAGGTGGTGTAGGTGATATGAATTTTCTCTGTTCATGTTGCTCCATTTAGACCCATCTCAATATTTTTTAGCACTAGAAGTTCTCTACATATTTTACTGGCAAACTAACCTCTTGAGAAAAAATTGTCAAATAAAAAAAAGCCTCTTGAGAAAAAACTAGATGACTCCTAGTCAACATTGGACTCAAAGTAAGCGTACCAACATGACTATAATTTAGTCGCAACTAATTGGTATCACCAATGTTGATTTTTCCTCATTATACCTTGGCCCTCTCTAATTAGTGACCATGATTTATGTAATCTGTTAGGTTCGCTCTTCGGTTTTTAAAGTTTTTTCACCAATTGTGAACACCCCTAGGTAGTGCAATATTTCTCCTGGGAAACAAAATTCATGATGATATTCCATTGTTACTTATGCTGGATGGTTGGTTCTATTTAGTTGTCTGATAGATAGATATCTTTTCTTTTTCCTTATTAATTGTTGAAAGGTAATATTCAAATTTTAAGCACAAAATTCACCTTTAGCACTGCAAGCTTTATCTAAAGGAAGATGTGGTTTTTATAACCAGGACATCTCTCATGTCCAATGACGCAAAGTTTGAAACTCGGTGGATAATTGGTTCGACCTTCTACCCTTCTGCGCTTAAACATTAGGCTTTTTTGTACGGCAAGATTCACACTTGTGATGTGCTCCTAACTTGCACATTCTGAATACAGGACTCAGTTCATCCTTTTTCCGTAGTTTTGCACATGGATTTACCGTTAATTATTTGATGAGAATGAAAATAGTGAATGCAGTGCTTCATTTAATTCCTTTGTTGGGATACACCTGTTGTGGTTTTATATCAATGGTACTCCGTCTTGTTTTTCTATGTTTCCTTTTCGATTAGTTTTAAACAAATTGAACTCTTTAGTCTTTTCTTAAATTGTTAAAATTTATGATCTTCACTTTGGAAAAACACCTTATAATAGTACTATCATATTTCAAATTAACTTGACATGGTCAAATATAAGAATTTATTAGAACATGTGTTTGCTGATCTCTTCGTTATAGAGTTTGCTTATCATGCAAAAAAAATATTTTCATGTTCTTTCGATGCTCCTCCCCAGCTATCTTTCTAGAGGTGAAAGAGGATGAGATGCCAATAGCTCTCCACCATCTTTCCTTGTCCATTGATACTCAACATTAAAAACACGTAGTAGACGCATAGTATGAGTACATGGAAATTGATTGGAACTTTTTTTTTTTGCAAAAATGCTCATGTTTGTATTCTTTTTGGATTACCTTGGAGTCTGGGCTAGTTTGTGCGCACTTTAATTAACTCCATAGGTACTGCACCTCCCACCTTCACAAGTACTTCGTAATCCATCCACCAAGTCTTAGGTAAAGGGGAGGAAATCATTGGAGTGTTTTTGACTCCATTGGGATTTGAATGAAGACCTCACGACTCGAACCACCTCATTGACTACTAGGCAATACCTTTGTGTGCATGTATGAATACTTGAAAACTGATTGTTTGTGTTCTTTTTAATTATGTTTCTCTTTTTGAAGTACTTGACGAGTTTGTGTGGATCTCCGCAATAGCTGCTGTTGCTCAGGCTCTTCTTCACCTACTTAAAAACATTGTTTTCTTTATAGGTTTTCAAATGTTTTTGTGAAGATGTCACGGATGGTGGGTTACATCGAATGTTGCGGGTTATAAAGAAAGATCTCAAACCAGCCAGACACCAAGAAACTGACAGTGAGAATGAAGATGACGATGATGACGACGTTCTTGACATTGAAGAAGCTGAGGAATCTGATGAAGCAGAGATGGATGAAACTGCGGAGAGGTATGAACATGCGGATGACTCAGAGACAGTAGTTGGTGTTGAGGGTGTTAGCTCAGAACTTCCTGTAGCTTCTGATGATGATTCTGATGAGGGATTAGATGATGATGCAATGTTCCGCCTGGACACCCATCTTGCTAAAATGTTCAATGCTAAGAAGAACCAGGCTGGTAGTGAAACTGCTCATTCACAGCTTGCCCTCTTCAAACTTCGTGTCCTCTCGTTGCTGGAGATTTACCTACACGAAAATCCAGGCAAGTCTTTCTTCATTCACTGGGATTGCTGTTTCCTGGCTAGGATGGGGATGATTCATGTATTTAAAGTAGCATACTTTTATCATCTTTGGTAGTTCTTTAGTTGCTTTGTTTAGAACTCAGCAAACCAAGTACAGTGGTTGGTTATTATTTTGCAATCCCACATATATTACAGGTTTAAGTTGTGAGTTAAAATATGTATTATTTTATGTGGAGTAGAAAATGGAATAATTAATAAAAGGATTGGTAATACATGGATTAAAGTACTACAATGATAAATTTATCCTCTATTACTCCACAGTTAAATTTTTGGCTTTGGTTATGGTGCTTTCATTCCCAGTTTTGTACCTTGCATCATTTTTATAGATCTAACGTTTTATCATGCATTGTTAATAAGTTTTTTATTTTAAGAATTATATAATGTATATTAGTTTCTAATACAACAAAACAAATATTAACAACCACATATACTGTGTAATCCCACAAGTGGGGGGATAACCGGAAAAACAAATATTTGAAGAAATAATTCATGCATTGTGATCCCTACATAACCAAGCTCTACATATCTGACCCCCACATTACTTATTCCTTCATAGCTAAACTCAAACATTACTCATACCAACCTGCATAACTGATAACTCTCCCAGCAACCATTGTCTAACTTGATTTCAAAGCATGATCTCATTTTTTCATGATTAGCTTTGTGGCATGATCATCATGATGAAACTAGGGTAGACATACAAGTTTTAACCAAAATAAAAGCTTCTTTGATAGAGCTTTTGATCAGTGTAAATGGATCAACAACAACAGCTAACACCTTCTTTCTAACTGGTTGGTATCGCCTATGTGGATTCTTTGCTCCTTTTCTTAACTAAGTTCACATTGGTTAAGTCCTTTTCAACTCTTCCCAATTTGTGATTCATGTCTGCTTTATCTTTTTTATTACTTTCAATCATAATTTTGTGAACCTACATATTGATGCATTTTGAGGCTAAATCAATTTAGACTAACTTTTCTCATTTTATTTTACATGTACTAATTGCTCCTCTGGTGCGTCATCATTTCTCATTTTGTTCAATTTAATTCACCGTACTTCCACTTTAGCTTTCACATTTCAACCGTATTTGTCTTGTATACATGTTGGCCCGTAGATGCCTAACGTCTCCTTAAAATGTTGTTGGACTCACTATTCTTATATATCAATCACTTTGGGCATCTTTCTATGGTATGGCATTCCTATCAAACTCCTCTTTTCAGCCTTTCTATTTTAGTTCTGCATGTATGGCTTTGTTTCTGTCGATTCTCCTTGAAAATATTACCTATGCTGAATACCATGAATAAAAGATTCTTCGGCATACACTTTGATCTTATGGCTGAATATCATGATCTGAGGCTTTTGTTCCTCTTGTATTAAGCACTGCAGTTACACTGCAGCTACCTTTTGTGTTTCAATTGTTAGTGTTATCATGAACCCAACGGCACTATTTGTTTGATCTTATTGATTCATTAAGGTGTTAATTGTTATTTAAATTTTCCATTTTGCAGAGAAGCCAAAAGTAGTGAAAATATTCTCAAGCCTAGCTCATGCATTTGTAAACCCTCATACTACGGAAGGTAACGAACAACTTGGCCAGCGAATTTGGGGAATTTTACAGAAGAAAATCTTCAAGGCAAAGGACCATCCAAAAGGTGAAGTCATTGAGTTCCCAGTTCTTAAGTCTCTCTTGGAAAGGAACTTGGTGCTGGCAGCAAAGCCTTTCAAGAAAAAGAAATCTGCTTCTAGTTTGTCAAAGAAAAAGCTGTCTGCTGCCTTGAATAGATACAAAATGATCAATTCTCTTGCCCAGAGTTCAACATTTTGGATTTTGAAGATGATTGATCTGAAAAAACGTCCAGAATCTGAACTTGAGGAGGTTTCTTGTATATTCAGAGAAAAACTGGAGGGCTACTTAGATAGTAAAAGTACTCGAATGAAGTGCGAGTTTCTAAAAGAAGTCTTTAAAAGGCGACCACGGATTGGATATCCTCTATTTGGGTTCCTTTTGGAGAAATGTGCTAGTGCGAAGCTACAGTTTCGACAAATTGAAGCTCTTGAACTGCTCTTTGAGATGTTAAAATCGTTTGTTTCTTCAAACCCTGATGACAACAGCCATTTTACCAAGTTAGGCAGCCATCTTGCCAAGTTAGGCTGTCTTGTTAATGTGTTGTTGAAAAATATGCCCGATAAGGCATCACGACGAGCTGATGTTCGTAAGTTTTTTGGCAAAGTGATTCAGGTCTTAACAGATCTTGAACAGAGGGCCTTGTTTCTTGAGGCTCTGGAACCTGATTGTGAAGCTCAACTGAGGGACATGTTTCCTGCTTTGAATCAGTGAATGGTAGAGCAAGGGTATATGACAGTATTTATTGCGCATGTTGGAGTGACCAGTTCGGCATTGTTTACTGGCGTTTAATCAGACCATAAGTTATTTGTACTGTTGGAATTTACTGTTTTCGCCAATATTTTTCTTGGGTTGTTGAAAAACTTGTAGCAGCAGCAGTTTTGGTTATATGTAATACTTCATAGTAACTGTACTATTCCAAAATTTTGGCATACGGAGCGCGAATTTACATCTTACTAATGATTGTTTCCTCTCGTCATTCTTCACCCCTTACATTTCATGTCATTATTTATAACTAACATCACGTAACTTAGCATTGCCATGACTCTTAAATTGATAAATTCATCTCAGTGAAATATGTGGACAATGAAACATGAGTAATGTCCATATTTGATAAGTAAAAAGTACCAATAGACAACAGACTAATGTTCCATAAATTCTTGCCAACCATCATGAGGCCAAATGAATTTATCGACGCACCAGAAAACATCAGTGGGGACAATAAGCTTGGACCACATGTGAAGGAGTTCATCTCCAGTATATCAATTAGAAAGATGCAACAGAAAACTCCAATCTTGGCTTTGGAAAAAAAAAGAAAAGGGGTAGAAGTACACAATTGAAAGTAGCTTAAGAAAGAGTGACACAACTCTGATCTTATTTTTCTTGTCTAACATATAATAGAACTTTCTCCTTCATGGAGAACTTGAACTTGTAAGTGAAGGTCTTTGTTGCGCTTTCCTCTCACAAATTCACAAATACAATGGTCATTTTTCTCCACAAGGTTCCATCTACATAAACTGCGCCATCCACCAACTAGCCATATTCTACCGTCCTTCCACGTCTTGAGTTTCGTCACAAATTCTCTGCCAACAGAGTCGCGAATGGTCATACTTGAAGGGAGTTCAAGTTTGTAGTCCTTTACCACATCGACCGGAACGTACTGAATTGGGAACAAAAGACTTTGTAAAATAAAAATGATATAACGATTGAACTACAAATCATTCATGAAATAGTTGAAGGATTATAATTACCAGTTGATCTCTCCTCTTTGATCGTATTTTCGCTATAAAGTAAGGATTTTTTGGCTGAGTTGCACGTCCACTTTTGAATATATCTACACCAAAATGGTCATGACGATTCCTCACCTTGCAAGCAAAGGCTATTTTGCATCTAGTTTTAGTTGGTTTGGTTCATAAACAAAAATCTCATGAAACACAAATACTCTACCCGTGTAATTTTACATGGTGGTATTTTATTAACATGAATTTAAGAAAGAAAGAAAAATTTTAACATGTACCAAAAGTATTAAGAAATGAAATTTAACTTTATTCCAAAAACTAACAAAAAGCACCCTTAGGCTTGTTTTGTTAGCGAACAAAACAATTGAACCTTTATAAAATCCTTTAGAACTTGTTGTCTTAACCATTTATATGACTACAAGGTGATCTCAAAATATACAACGATCTTTTTTTTTAAAAATACTGACAAGAAAAGAATTGAATGACACAAAATAAAACAAAGAAGTAGATATAAAGATATTAATTTGTGTTTACCTTTTGACCGTGACACCTTTTTCTTAAGTGTGTTAGCTCTTTGATTCTCTCCCTCCTCACTTTCGTCGTCCTCCTCCTCTTCTTCTTCCTCCTCTTCATCTTCATCGTCTTCTTGTTCTTCTTCTTCCTCTTCCGCGTGACATGGTACCTTTTTAGTCTCTTTATATTCCTTGTCCTCATCCTCTTCTCCTTCTCCCATGTACTCCACATCATTATCATCAGAAGAAGAACCATTGAAGTTATCACTAGCCCAATTCTTCCCTATTGGGTCTGCACTCTTTTGATGTTCAACACTCATTTCGTCCACTTCCTCCTCTTTCACTGTCAATTTTAAACCTCCAACTCCTTTCTTTTCACATTTAGTTCTTCCAAGTAATTTAAAGTCAAATATTCTATTTCCATCATAGTCAAAAATAAGAAAGTCTCCAACCTCTACAGTATTGTCCTCAATAAATTTCTCCCATCCATATTGAAAATAAAATTTTCCTCCTATTTTGTTCACTCCTATAGGCCACATATTGCCAAATCGATCTCTAAGATAAATTTTCTTAGGTAATTTTTCATTCTTGTAATATGTAAAACATGTAGGAATTTTCTGTGAAAAACAAACAAACAAGTTAAACAACATCAATTTCTTCATAAATTGACCATATCATAGAAACAACTAATATCATATAGAAAAATATTTCAAAGTTAAAATTCAAGAATGTAACTATTTCAAAAAAGATGGATAAACAACTTACGAGCCGCTTTCCACTTTTTTCAGGGGAGAAAATCTTGACGAAGCCCTTTTCCATCTTCTCTTTTGTTGTTGATCAAACTTTAAGAGAATAGAAGAGAATACTATAAGCGGAGGCGAAAAATATAACACTGAAAATTCTTGTAGATAGAGTATTTGCTTTTTTTTTTCTTTCTTCTCAAGTAGTAAATGCAGAAATAGTAACTATGGTGAAATGCATGTGATGAGTTATTGTGGTTGAGCTAAGCTTTTTCCTCATTTGGAATTTAACAATTCAGTTGGTATTGTTCTGCACCATTGCATATTATGGAATACTATTAATTTCAATAATTCAGTCAATATACACTATTAATTTTCTCTGTTTACTTTCAATAATACAGTCAATATACAATGTTTTACTGTGACTCATGACAACATTCTTTAATTTGACAATTATTCTAAAAAAGACTAGTCACTCATTAATATGCTTTTGTCTATAAAAAGTATTGAGGAAAAGAAAGGCACCAGTCCATATAAAGTGGTCCAATTGTTTGGTACAAAGAATAATAAAGCAGGGATTAGTAACGAAGAAATTAGTAATGCAGAGTTTATTTTATATCAAGTGTTTGGTTCATTGTTTCTCACCTCATCTTGTGTTTGAATTTAAACTCTACAAAAAGTTTCTTTCCAATTATACCCTTGAATTATTATAGAATTTTTTATTTCATGTAATCAGACCAAGGTAGATAATTGTCGAACAATATTATTTTTTATGGTCCTCTAACTAGCTAGGAGAAGAACAATTTTATTGTCATATTTGTTATTTTCTCAATTGAATTATTTGAGGGCAAATAATTATTATCTTAATAAATTGATCACTCACAAAACGTCAATTTTCAATTTACAAAAGGTAGACCATCTAATTTTAAAACCTGAAAAGACGGTAAACAATAGTAAAATCGAATAAACTATCTACATTTACACATAAAAATTGCAAGTTGTATTTTTAATATGTATGCAATTTCATAAATTATTCAAAATACAAATAATTAGAAAACCACATATAGATCAACAAATAATATATTTAATTGAGATCACAAACGTCATATATTTGTTTTTTCAATTAGTAAATGTTAAACAACTGACAATTCAAATATTTTATTGATTTGTATTGAATTTATTTAGCAACAAACAACTCTCTCTAAATAGTAAAATTTTAAAGCTAATTTATTTAAATAAATTTACTAATATAAATATAAAACATAAAATCAAGAAAATAAACAAATTGATTAAAATCTTTACATGATTAATTACATGGTATTAAATCCTATGTATTATTAATACCACCAAATGAAAAGTATTAGTAATATATCCTCTAATGCTATGTAGGGTGTATAACTAATCCATGGATTAATACATAGACTCAAAATTTCTACCAAACATAATACTAAATATTATCATATATAATACACAAACTACTTCTCCTAATACTTCCTACCAAATGATTCATTAAGCATTTATTCAACTACTTCGAAATAGCAATTTTGGCATTCTGATATTTTTTTTATAAGATATTGTAGTACCATGCAAAAGTTGAGATGGTAATAGAAGTTTGATGATATTCTCTTCTAATTTGGCATGGTTAAAATTTTAAGAGTTGAATCTTTTAATTTTGATCATAAAAATAAATATGAAATCTTTAATTTTTTTTAATTTTTTTTATATTTATAACAACGTAAAAAATACTATAAATCATAATAAATAACGATTTAAAATATTTAAAAGACATATTATAAATTATGATAAAAAAGACTCAATTTGAATATCAAAACAAAAAATGTGTCACATAAATTAGGATAGAGAAAGTGACAATAACTGCTAAGACACTCTTGTAAAAGAATCAAAGAAATTAAAAATTAATGTTGTCATTATTGTCGAATGTCGAGAAACCAACAAATAAAATAAAGTTGTACAGTATAATTTTTTCTGAAGTAATAAGTGTATTGATATTATGCTTCCAAGCAAAAAAAAAAAAGATAATGGTGCCCAGTGCCAACTGCCAACAGAGTAACTAAACTGATTTGGCAACTTATTAAAGTAGTAGAAAAAATAATAATTCTAGTAAAAAATAGATCAAACTTGAAATTTCGAAATTAAAAAGTGAAAATGTCCCATGACACATGATGAAGTATTTAAAATAGCAAATAATTAACAAAGAGGCCCCTTGATTTCTAACTTTTAGATGATAAGAAGGTATGTAATTTGTTCGGTGAGAATTAAACTTTTTAATCATTTCTTCGAAAGAACTTTTCACTAAGATGATAAAATTAGTCACAATGAAAAAAATGGTTCAAATTTTTCATATTTGTACGGAGGTAAAAAGTCAATTTCAGAATCCATAAGTTAGCTATCAAATGGTCGACTACGAAACCCATCAAGGCTCCAAAATTGTATATTATTACGATGCCCTCGATCGGCGATCGTTCAACGGATTACTTTTGCGATGTCTATCACATGAAGAAGCTCAACAAGCCTTGCAAAGAAGTATATTTTACTCATAGGGGCATAGTAATAGTTGTTTGCTGGGTTGGTTTTGCTCTCTACCTTCTCACGGTGGAATGAAAACAAGAGCGGTCAACCGGAGTGGAAGCTAAAAAACAGGACTGAGAATCTGTGATCGATCCGAAGAACCACTCCCAGTCCCAGATACGATTCTGCTCCCCCTTCGTACTGCCATGAGATTCTTGCCCGACTTTCTTTCTTCTATAAAATAATAAGTTATATGGTAATGGATAATTTAATTTCTATAGAATTTATGTTAAGCAAGACAAATGTTTAGTTTTAGATACCACAAGTTATGTTGAAAAAAGCATAACTTAATTCTTACAGCCGAACGAAGGCAAAAGTTCAATTTCATAACCACAAGTCATGTTGTAAAATGCATGACTTAATTTTTACCAAACTTATACCTAGTAAGGCAGGAGTTTAGTTTCAGAACCATCAAGTTAGGTCGTAAAATATATAACTTAATCCCCGCAATACTTACGCAGAGCTACACAAAAATTCTCTAAACTTATGTTGAGCAATTAGGTTATAGGAATACTAAACAACTTATGCCGCATAACTTAAATGCTTATAGAACTTATTCCGAGCAAATTAGCTCATATATAAGAGTTACTTGGTCAACAAAATTTTCATTAAATGAGTAGCAAGGGAAGAAAAAAAATAAAGACCATCATATCTGGGGAAAAAAATTGAACACTACCCTGAAATAGAAAGAGGAAAGAGACCAACAAAATTTGATAAAGAGAAAAAAGGTAAGCGAAATTTGGGAGAAAGAGAGGAGAAATGCTAGAGAGAGTGAAATATAGTTATAGAGTATAATTTTTTAAAATATAGCTATGGATGTTACATACATAGTACAATACTATATCATGTAATTTATTTTTTCTTCAAATTAATGATTTGATAAAAATAAGTTTTGGTAAAAATATATTAAATATTTAAAATTATGTACACAAACTAGTAATATATTGCATATTTATAGTCATAAAATAAATTTCTTTCGTCGAAAATGAACAAAGAAGTACAATTACGAAGAAACCCTTGGCCATATACCATAGACGTACCCTTATTATAAAGTTAAATAAAAAATAAATTTGATAAAACTTTATAAATAATTTATATATTATTTTTATATTACGCGTTGCTAAATGGTGCGGCTATATATATTTGGCATTTGCTTCTACCTTGTAAATTCTAAAACCCTATATAAACCCTAACACGGTCAGACCCGAACCGGTCTTACTCTTTCGATGACTTCCGCCGGCCTGCTCCTCCGACCGCTACGTCGTTCTGCCCATAAAATTGTAAGTTCTTCTTAACCTTTTTCATCATGTAATGTTTTGTCTTCTTTTAGATCTTTCATATACTAATATTTTTTGATGATGATTTTAAATCTTGTTGTGAATGGTTTGATCTTACAATTTCCGAATTAAAAATTTCACATTCTTGATTTTAAAATAAACATCACTTCTTGATTTCTTGAAAGAGTTGGTTTGTGTTGTTGATCGCTTAGCTCTGAGTTTATGGCTTGTTTATGGGTAAAGAATGTGTTCTATTTTCTGTGGGAGATCAAGATTATGGTTATAGAGATTGTCCGGTGAATTACATTGAAAAGAAAATTGTCCGGTGAATTACATTGAACAGAAAACTGTGATTGGACTATACACCCACAAAGGAGATGCCACTGTTATGGAAAATAAAACAAACTCCAAAGAGTAGATTGCCTAATATGTTGTAGTAGCTCCCCTTCAAATGAGGAAAAGACCCTTGAAGCTAGATGTTATGATAAAACTTAAGAAACCTTTTCTCCAAAAAAAAAAAAAAAGAGAGGGGAGGAGAAAACTAAAGAAATGAACATCAACTACTTTAAATCTTATTGTCAATGGTTTGATCTTACTATCTCCGACATGAAAGACTTAAAAAATTCACTCTTGATTAAATTAAACATCGCTTCTTGATTTCTTGAAAGAGTTGATATGTGTTATTGATCGTTTATCTCTGAGTTTATGGCTTGTTATTGGCTGTGGGAGATCAAGATTATGGTTGTAGAGCTTGTCCGGTGAATTACATTGAACAGATAATAGATGGGACTATACACCCTCAAGAAGACGCCACTTTTATGAAAAAACTATACACTCGCAAGGCTAGATTGGCTAATATGTTGTAGCTTTCAATGCTTCCCCTCAGATTAGGACAAGACCTCAAGTTTAGATGTTAGGATAAAACTTAAAGAAATCTACAATGAACATCAACTACTTTTGCCAATATGTAATGGGCTTGGAATAGAGTGGAATGAATAGTTGATTGGTTTGAAAAATCTTACTAGTAGTTGCTCATTTCCTAGCTTTTAATTATCTAACCTTTATCCATTATGACTGTTTGTTTACTTGTGCAGTTTGCTTCCAACACCAAGCCTTCATGGTGCCCATCACATTTTGGTGCTAAATGGGCTGGTCTAGCTAGACCATTCAGGTATGCGGCTTGTAGCATTGTTTTCTCCTTTTTAATCTTGTG